TCAATCCCCGGGGGGGGGGGGGGGGTGCAGGAGGCAGCTGGATCAATATTTCGCTTTCACATTGATGCTTTTCTCTCTCCCCCTTTCCTTTCTTCTCCCTCTAAACATCAATTTTTTTAAAAAAACCTTTAAAAAATAAATAAATAAAAAGTGTTTCAGAAAAGTTGAATCACATAAGGATTACGAGGCCACTGGGTCATTGGTGGGTCAATTATGTCATTGGTGGCCTAAGTAAAAGCAATGCCATTAGAGATGCCACTCCCACTACTGAGGAGTGAGAGTGAGTGAAACATAAGGAAGCAGGAAGAATATTCTTTAATGAAGGATGGATGTGGCAAGAACAGAGAAGACATAGAAATCTGAGAGGGAGGTGAGGTTGTGGGAAGTCTGAATTTGAGATTTAGGGATACCTGACCATGGTTCTAGGTTGAAATTACTTAGCAAACTACATAGTTTCCTCAGAATTAATGTATTAATAAGGTGAATAATCTAAAGACCTCATGATATGAAAACTTTGAAAGCAAAAATCAATAAAAATTTTCCCAAAAGCCATGTTATCTTTTTTTTCTAGGAGTAGACAGATAAATGGAAATTTTGATTTCTATAGTGAATAAAATACTTAGATTCAGTAGCATATTGGAAACTAAAATAATATAAAACATAAATATTAAAATTAATTATTATCTTTTAAGATTATGCTTTTAAATAAAAATAGTAGAAAGATAAGGGGCTGAGAAACACAAAACTTAGACTTGAGTCCTACATTTGACTTTATTAACTTAAGCAAATTGCCCAAGCTATTCGTGATTTAATTGATCTACATACTATGAAGGGATTGAATTAGATGGTTTTCCAACATATTTTCAAGTCCTTAAATTCTGATTCTCTAACCTTAAACCATACATTAAAAGTTTTTTAAAAACCTAATGTCATTATCTTATTAAAGCTAATGAGACTAAAAAGGGCAGAGTTGAATCTAATTAGTACAGCAATGTCTTACTTGGATTGCATGTTGAACCAACTGGACTCTCCCATCTTTGAGGTGAATCAAACTCACCCCCATCTTCTTCAAGATTTCTAAATGCTCAGGGTTAGTGGCCATGAAATCTCTGGCTCTCAGAGGGGGTTTAGCTCCACTCCTGAAACTCTCCTCTCTGCTAAAAGTAATTATAGGCAAGGCTTAAAAACTACAAGTCAGAACTGGGGGAAAACATAAAGCAAATAAAAATAATGTTAGATACCTGCAAAACTGCTAGTTTTAGAAATAGTGAAAATGGAATGGAAACAGGTATTTGCCTACATATAACTTAGGTTATTAGTAAGTGGTATAGCTTTCAAATGTAATATTTTACAGTTATAAAATCATGTATATTATCAGTATGATAGCATTAGTTAATAAAATTATAACCATTTGAAAGTACAGAATAGGCTGGCTTTGGGATTTGTTACTACTGATTTTTTCCTCAAAAAACAGATTTTTCTCCCCACATTTTAAAAGCAAAACAATAGTTGTATCAGTGAATGATAACATTCACTGAAAAATTTTATTTTTATTTCCTAGTACAGTAATGGCTTTTTCTAATTTAACTGCTTGGAAGAAAATAAACTCATTAATGCAAAAATTTTCTTTAACAGCCAAGAATAAGTACCTCGTCAAAAAATAAAAAAAACAAAAACTATATTTGCACCACACAAACACTACAGTTAAAAGGAAAAATAGTTTCTACATATACAAGATATGTGGAAATATTTGATGAAACTATTCCAAAAATGAGCAACACAAGTTGAAAACTATTATATGCTGCCCAGTGACTGCTATTACTTAGTTCATTAAACAAAAGATAAATAGAAAATTTCCATAATAATAAAAAACACTGCAGAATAAACATTGCTATCTAACTTTACTAACAATTTTTATCTTAATCAGCAATAACTACATACCTCAATATTTTGGGTTTAAGTGAATGTCTACTGTTATACGTCCCTTATGTTCTCTGTCATTTACTAAGAATAATTTTGATATTAACAAATATAAAATAAGACATCTTACACTCTGATGATGCCTCTAGGACAGCTCTTATCCACCACATTTTTCAAGGGTTCACGAATGCTCTGAGCATACAGTGGATCATTAGGGAAGAGAATCTGAGTATTTGGACAAGTCCAATCAAAATTACTGTCATCCAGTTCTACATATTCTGAAGTCTACAATATAAAAGAACGTTATATGAATAAAAATAATTTTTTTACTTAACATTATAGTTTGTTCAAAGAAAACATTAAATAAAAGTATACAGGACGCAATAAAAGAAAACAAAATAAGGAAACATCAAGTGTACTTTTCCTCCTACCATACTACATGCATTTAATTCTAGTCATGGATTACTTTTCAATTGGAAAAATTAAAACAAACAGAGAAGTAAAGAAGAGAATAAGACATATGATTAAAAAACATAACCTACTGTGTTCTTCTTAGAGATGCTTTGATTTGTGGTAGAGAGCCACAGAGGTAACAAATGAGCTTCTGTTGTGAATATGTAATCTTCTATGTCAAAAATAATATCTTCTTTATCCGCAAATAACAGGTAAAGATATTTAAACATTTCAGCCAAGAAGAAAGAATCCATTCTAAAATAAGAGGTCATAAATAAATCTAAGAACATAAAAATATCCTAATGCCAACTATCCGAAAGCCAGCGCCCAGGTCAATAGATCTATCTGCACCAATTTAGATGTCCAAAGAACTACCAAATATATCTATTCCTTGGTGGTAATGGCCTGATTCCAAGTATTTTCCAAAGAAATGAAAAGACCAGTGCACCTGCCTACCACAGTTATACTAAATCTTGCCGATACTGCAGACAAGATTTTCCTACTGGCCTTCCAAGGAGGGAGAGTCCTCCATTTCTTCTACAGAGAACCAGGAGGTAATGCAGATAAACTTTACTACTGAGACCCATATAATCCTTAATTAATATTTAATTGAAGGGGATTAAGTAGTACAATGTTGACAGTTTATTATGCAGCCATTTAAGTGATAAATAAGACTTTAAAGGTAAAGGAATCATTTACAAAATGTTTCATGAAAAAAGGTACAACACAAAATCAGATGCAGCATAACTTTGTAAATATTTAAATACTTGTCAAGAGGGAATATGAAAAAATAAAGGGGATAAAAATATGTGACTTTACAAACTATTTAATGTTGTAATGTCTTAATAAGCAATTTTTAAAAGCTTTAATAAAATTAAAAGTGGCAGAGCCCAACCGGGCGTGGCTCGGCGGTTGAGCATTGACCTAGGACCCAGGAGATCGGGGTTCGATTCCCGGTCAGGGCACATGCCTGGGTTATGGGCTCGATCAATGACTGTCTCATCATTGATGTTTCTCTTTCTCTCTCCCCCTCCCTCTCCTGTCCTCTCTCTGAAATCAATAAAGATATATTTTTTTTAAAAAGTGGCAGAAAAAGAGCATAGCTGTTAGATGGAGTTATAGAAACATGAAATTTAATTAAATAACCACTTCGCGAAGCATCTAGTTTTTGGCAGTAAAGAAATTGCAGTATACTGGACAGGTTGCATAGTTTCATACCTCTGGCCAAGCACAATTCCTGACACAGAGTAGGGACTCAATAAACATTTAATAAATTGAATGCAAATTTAAACACTACTAAAGAATGAACTGCAGAGGCAGTGGAACATAGTGGTAAAGAACATGGGCTTTGGAAACAGAAAAGACGATCCACTGACTAGCTGTGTAACCATGGGGATATTATACAAGCACTGTGAGCTTCAGTTTGTTCATCTGTAAAGAATATAATAATCATTACACACCTAAGAATGGTGTAAAGTCTAAATAAGATACTATACATACATTGTTTAGCATAGCACCTGGAAGGCATATATATGAGCTCAAAAATAGAGCTATCATTATTTTTCCTACCCATAAATGATGTTTAACACTGGAACAACTCATCTGTCACGCTTCAAAACCTCTTTGAATATTTTAGATGTTAATCTTTATAGAACAGATAAAATACTTCCCTGTCAATCTGCAGTACACTTATGATAATTTAACACTTTCTGGAGGACTGACAGTTATTATCACAAGCAAATGCTAGCTTGAGAACTGTAGATTTATAAGCAGGAGGTTGATTTTTAACAAATTCTAGAATTGATTACGAAACAGAAACATTTAGAAACATTTAGAATAAATAGAGACATGGTAAAATCACTAGGCATGAGCTGGGTAAAGCTAGCAAGTTGGGTATCTTATATATCTAATCTGTATTAAAAAACAGTAAACATGTACACAAATGCAAACAAACAGGCATTAAAATGTCTTGCCCTGACCAGGCAGCTCAGTTGGTTAGAGCGCTGTCCCAATATGCCAAGGTTTTGGGTTTGATCCTCAGTCAGGGAACATACAAGAATCAACCAATGAATGCATACATAAGTGTAACAACTAGATGTTTCTCTCTCTTTCTCTCTGTCTCTCTCTCTCTAAAAATCAATAAATAACAATTTTTAAAAATGTCTGGAATACGGTTTATCAAATTGTCAATAGTGGTTATCTTAGGGTGGGCAAGGGAAAGGGTCTTAGGGAAGATTTTCATGTTCTTTTTTGCTGTTTAAATTCTTTCCAGTGATCAGGAAATACAGATAGTTCCATTTGGAAAACTGTGTGTGTGCGTGGACACTGATGAGCCAGATGACAGCACCAAAAGATCTGCAGGGAGGGGGCAACCAAATGCAGAGAACTTGCAATGGAAAGTTCTCTGGTGCCAGGCCATGAAGCCATAGTCCTATCCCATATTCTTCCCAAAAATGTAGGTGGAAAATTTTTAAGGCATGTTTATCTAAACTGCAGATCAATAAAAACAGGTAGCTTAGCTAAAAGATTAGATGACTGAGATGAGATTCAAGCGCTCTTTTTGGTGAAAAAAACAGCAACACAAAAAATCAACAAATATGAAATTTTGCTGGGATAAGTATAAAGTTCTAAGTTTACACTAAAAAAAAGAGTCAGTTGCTCAAGGGCAAGGTGGAGAACACCCATTTGTCACCAGGCCATAGTTAAGTATCTGAGGTCAACTGGCCACAGGTTCACTGAGTTGAACACAATAAAGCTGCTATAAAACAAAAAATCTAAAGCACATCTAATGACACAATATGATGAAGATTAGTAGCTCTCAACCTTTTGTTAGGCCAAATGCATGAGAGGTACATACTGCCATGAGTGAGTCAATGAAGCAGTGGTCCTCAACTGCATAGAGAGTAGAAGCCTATCAGACCTTCAGAAAATGAGCAATTTTGTGCCTAAATCCAAATGGTTAACAGTGCTGCTGTGCCAGGCACATGTTGAGTTTGGTTAATTCTGGACATGATATTTTAAGAGACACTGTATATACTGGAAAACAATTAGAATGGAATAAAGGCAGTGGTAAGAGGTCCAGAAACAACGCCACATAAGGAATATTCAGTAGGGGGGTATTAAATTTAAAAAACTGGAACTCTCTAAACAGAGTAAATCATGCCTTCCTCTACAATTCCTCAACCTGCGACTCCTCCTTCTACTACAGCATCTATCACACAGTTGTGATTAATTCTTTACACATCTATTTTCTTCACTGACTACAAGTCATGGGAGGACAGGGACTGATTCTGATTTATCTTTCCATCCTCAAGTTTAAGGGCAGTGCCTGCCAGACAGTGATTAATTAGCATTGTGGTCAAAAGCCAATCTGCCTTGATTAGAACTGACTTAACCTTACTAATAGTGTGACCTCGGGCAAATTCCCTAACCTCTCTGTGCCTTGGTTTCTTCATCTATAAAATGAAGATTAAAACAGAAATTACACATCTGAAGGTTGTTATAAACATCAAATGAGTTAAATATCCAAAGTGCTTAGTTAGAAGAGTCCCTGGTATGTAGGAAGCAGTCAATAAATGCACAGCTATCTGCTTTCATTACTTGCTCTTTGTTAGCTGTATGCCTGCTTTCAGAAACCTAACCATTTCTCTTCTATCAGTTGTGGTCAGGGGTCCCAAGCCTAATTAACTACTCTAAATACTCTGAGTAAAGGACTAAGGGACAACTCTGAGGAGATGATGAGTGCTATCTTCATCTGCCTCTAGTCCCCTTGCACATCCCAATTTGTATTTCATGTCCCTTTAATATGTTCCATAGCACTTACACAATGTTTTAAAGCCTGTTTATCTGCCTGTCCTCCGCGATTCAAAGACAGAAAAATCATTTTAAAAATCATTTGTTTCCATTTCATTAATCCTCAAAAACCAGTGTAACTGGCATGTAAGACGCCTTAGTAAATATTTGTGGAATGAACATTTGCTAACCAAATGAACAAACAAGCTTTACTATTCTTTCCGAGATGTGTTGCTATGCTCTGGACAGTTAAAATAAGATAAGTGACCTCGGAATAACTGGAATGCTAGTGAATGTCATATTAACCAAAGCATGCTTCTTGTATCTTGAGTACTTCGTGCCACCTACATCTATCTAGTATCCAATGAATAGAAACTGCCAATGGTCTTTTCCAGCCCTCCTAATCAGCAACCAATAAGAATATACACATTAACCACAATACTGTTTTTGTGGAATTGTCTGAACACAAATAATCCAGATCATTCGTTATCACTTTGATAATCTCTTAACATTTTATATAATATAAAAACAATTAACAAAGGAAAATAAAACCTCAATGTTCCTAATACTTCTAATATCAAGGTTCTGATATTTAACAATCATGTATTCATCTTTCTAAAAATCATTTGAGCACCTACTATATGCCAGGCACTATGATAAAAATATAAACTTTTCAAACAATTTAAAATAAGCCTATTCAAGAGAGTTTTAAAAATAAACACAACAAACTAAGGTTTGCATCTTCAAATACCCTTTGTAAAAGCATTAAGCATATCTGAATCCTAACTAGTAGTCATTTTTAGAAATTTTTACCTGTCTTCATGACTTCCAGTACGAACATCCTTCATGGCAGCAAATCCACAAGGCACTCTAGCATATTTATTTAAATTTTCAATAAGTGTTTTCCCTACTTCAAGGTAGTAAGGGTCTCCTGTAGCCTATTAAAAAGGAGAATATATGTGTATACACACATACACACACATATATAGCTTATTTATTAACATACATTGATTTATCACATATTTACTGAGTACCTACTAGGTGCTAGGCATTGTATCAGGCACTGGAACACACGTCACACAGAGCCTAGCTCTGAATATAAGCCATAGAATTTGCTACATAGAATTACTAAATACACAATTAGGAAGCCATCCAATTGTGTATCTTAGCCTTTAAATTTCTAATGATGCCTTCAAAGCTTTCCTGATTAAAGGAAGACAAGAGACATGCTTTAGAGACATGCTTTAGAATACAAAATTTCTCTTTAAAGAAATATTTACATAAATATCACGAAAAGGCATAAAACTTAGGTGTGAATCCTTGCATCTTTCAATAACTCTATGAGCTATCAGAGTTAGAACCATGATATATCCAACCACCATAACATTAACATGGTCTTTGAAAACCCAATTACTATTATAAGATAGTGAGATATACAACAGAGATTTGGGGGGAGTAGGGAGGCTAAATAGCAAATAGGGAGGTAAATTAGCTTACTTTATACAAGAAGTAGGTACTTTCTGCAAATTCTGGTCTTAAAGGGTGTTGAGCCCAATGTACTCTAAAATCTGTGGTAAATGCCTGGATAAAATAACATTCAATTAGGCAAAAAATGGAAACAAAACAAACAAATGTGATTAGAAAATAAACAAGTAGGTTTAAAATATATACATGTATATAATTTAGATAAGTAAAAATAATTAAAATACCGATAATTTTCATCTATAAAATGAAAACTTTCATTGCTTAAAATCACAACTTATTTTTGCTAAGGCTCCTGTTTTTACCAGTTAAATGAAATTATTTTTAAAATGATCATTTTGGCTACTAGAAGCTTAGAAAAAACTATGAAACTGAGTAATGACACCACACAGTCCCGATGGTCCCACGTAATTGTGTTTTCTTCTTTCTCCTTATCTCTGCTTTTTCTCTTAGTTGTTAAGTCTCTGTTCTTGTATTTCTGTTTTAGCATATGCTTTCTTTAATAACAACCTCAAATCCTCAGTGGAGTAAGGAAGGCATTATTTAAAAGTAAAACTAGTCTTGCTTGAGATGTATTCAATAATAGAGCCAACTGATTTAGAGGAAACAAAAACCCTTATGAGCACCAAGTAAAATTTCATTTGTGATAACATGTATTTAGCTGAAACCTTAGTTTATTCTGAGTGAATATGGATTTTCTATAATACAGTGCTCAGTCCTACTCACCTAAAGGCTAATAAAACTCTCCTTTTTAAAGCAAGCACTTTAGGAAGCGTTCTAAATTGCTGGAATGCTTAGCTGTCTCACCGAGGGCAGTGAACAAGCAGGGACAGAACAAGGCCATACTTAAATTTAGAAGTTTTTAATCGTACATTTCTGGAAAACCAGTAAGTATGTTATTAAAATTTTGCCATGGTGAAGTTAGCAAGCATATTACTGATACAATGTATAAAAATCCAGGGGAAAAAACTCAATCGGCAAGAGGAAGAGCTGGTGTTTCCCATATCCAGGGAGCATGTGTGATTGATAGGAGCATATTCAATGTGTATCATTTTTATAAAATAAGCTTTAGAAAATAAAAAGTAAAAAGGTCTCCCTGGTGGGTATGTGTAAAAGTTAGAACGAAATAATATGGAATGTCATGGATTAGCAAAGGCTGAGAAATACTAGTTTGGGATATTTTACATAAAATTAATAAAATGTCAGAATTACCATAAACGAGACTTCTCTGAATACATGAAGAAAGGGATAAACATATACAATACTGTGTAAACCAAAAAAAATTAATTACATAAACTATTTAATCAGAAAAAATAAATCGAAAAAAAATAACCAATCTTAAAGATGGCATTTTCTACAAAATTCAGTTTACAGTATATATAAATTAGAACTCCAAAGATAATTTGCTTACCTCTGGTAGAAAATTGTGTTTTTTAATCACTTGATATAACATTTCATGAGTTTCAATAGCAGGTCTAATATCCCCTTTTAAGACCTGGAAGTCAATACAATAACAAAATTACCTAATAAAACATGAGTTGATTTTTTAATCTATAATCATTTTATAAGCAGAAAAATGCAGATTAATATAATTTTGAAGTGTGAGTCTGGTAATTCAATTTTAGAGATCACAAATGCACTTAGTTATAATCATTCTGCTTTAATATTAGGAAAACAGAGTTTTTGTGTTTACCTGCAGACCTGGAAAAAAGGCAAGCAAAGCATCCATCCACGTCCGAGCGTTCAGCATTGGCTTGTGGATGTGCACATCGAGTAGAAGAGGGGGCTGGCTGATGTACCGCATTATGGCATCATAGTGCTAAAAGATCACGACATGCGTTCAGGAAAGGAGATGAAGAGAGATGAGCTACTCTAAACACAGCATTTCATCAAATAGCACTGTAAAGAAATTAAACCTGAATTCATATATAAATTAACTTATGACGTCATTATGTAAAGATTTAAATTATTTTAGATGGAAACCTTTCTAAAATATATTGTACACACTCCCGTGTTCTTTAACTCTAATGCAGAATATAAAAGACTACAGTTAATATGAGACCTTGTGGGGGAGTAGATCTGAACATGGCTATCCTGTGGGATTAGCCCATGGTTAGTATACCCTTGTGGCCCAAGGATGCTCTTACATCCTCTTGAAATAGTTATAGGCTTCTACGTTGACAGAATTAGTTTCGTTTTCTCCTGTGCTAGGAAGTTTAGGCCCTTCTTGGCTAACATAATATTCTGGTGCTCACCACTATCCAAACCAACGCATCTAATCACTGCTGCTACTATTATGGTCTGTCTGCCTCTTAGGCTCCTAAAAACCCTTTCCCCCTTCTTCTATCTTCTAGTTATTTCTCAGCTGTAACAACAATTTGAGCTTTTACAGTCAATGAATGATAATAAGCCAAAAAAAAAAAACCTGTCCTCATTCACCTCAAGAAACTCTTGTTATAACCCACTGATTACGTATTAGGACTCTTCCTAGATTTCCCCTAACTCATCTACGATTTAATCACTTCATAGGCGCAGACCCACTTAATCTGCCCTAAAACTCTACAAACAGTTCTAGTGCTCTCATTTTATACACAAGGAACAGAGGCGAACAGCATCAAGTTATTTGCCCAAAGTCACAAACCGGTGATACAACCGGGACTTAAACCCCAGCAGGAAAACTGCCAGACTTCTAAACACTACATCATACTAGTCTCACAGTAATGTGGGTGAACTGGCGGGTGGGCAAAGAAACGATGAATTATTTTAAAAATACAGTGATATAGTTGATGAGCTTGCTTCATTAATTTCAGTTTCCTTCAATTACAGACAAAAGTGATCCAATCAGGTTCAATAATATTCCCCCTCCCCTAAAAATATGCCTCTGGCTCTGATCCAGACTTGAGACTTAAATACCTGCTTTTGAAATGAATATTCACTAGTTTCTCCAAGTTTCCAAAGCCCTGCATACTTGGTGTGATCAAGAACTATGCCAAACTTCCAAGATTTTAAAAAACACACAAAAGGAATCCAAAGGAAAAAGCTAACTAATTTATTCCAATAAATTCTTTTCTTTGTATAAAATATTAGGTAAAACTCAAATCTACATATTTTATTACTTATTGGTGGACCTTGAAACCTTCTGATAAGAGATTAAAATAAAACTACTTTGTAAACTAATTTTTGAGTGTATAGCTTTTACCCTGTCCCCGCCCAACATCAGGGAATACTGACAAAAAACCTACTATTACACATTTAGAAATAATTTTTTTTCAGAATGTAACTCAGATAATTGAGTTTCTATCAAAATCTGGCACTCGAATTAAGTTGGCTCTAAAGTTAATACAAAATTGGATCAACTTACTGTATTAAATCTTTCCAGAAAACTGTCATCTCCAAGCAAGACATAGGCTTTCAATAGATATTCATAATAGGAATCAATGCCTGCTCCAACTCCACTATCTATGGAAAATACATATAAATGTGATTCTATATTAAACTAGTAAAAAATTCCTTATACAGCTACTACAGTACACTCAGAATGAAAAATTGGTCTAAACATGAAACTGTTTAAAGTAAAAATTACACATTTACAGAAACATTAACACTGGTACATGAATAACTGTTCCTTTGAGAATAGTCCACAGAATACCAAAATGAGATAAAATCCTACATGTAGAATTATAACAATATTTTTAGAAATTTCTCCTTGGCTTTGATACTCTTAATCTTCCAGGCAGAAAGAGTTAGATCATATATACAGGGGCATAAAAATCAGAATAAAATCAGATCTTTAACAGGATGAAAGAAGACAACAGAGTTGTATTTTCAAAGACTTGAAAGAATTTAAACAGAAAATTATATCCAGCCCAACTGTCACTCAAACATGAAAGCATAATGAAGTTATTGTTAGGCATATAAGGCCTCAGAAGCTATTAAAAGCTACTGAAAAGGGTTTGGAATAAATACTTAAATAAGAAGAGAGACAAAGCTAAGAGATGTTGCAAGTAATATACAAAGTACAAGTGACCAAATATCTTAATAAAGTTTGTTATCTTTAAAGAAAGAGTAAGACCAAAAGAAAAAAGAGAAAACAATTCATAATAAACAAGAATGCAGTATCTATATGATATCAACATAAAGGGGGATGACGGCTAGAGTGGGGCTTGGGGCAGGGAGACAAAGGGATAGGAGAATATGCTAAAGTTGATGTCTTACTAGGAGGCAAGTATAGGTTCAATTCAAAAAAACAAAAGAATTAAAGAGAAACAGAAAAGGTGGGACACACTGAAATAATAAAAATGGTATAAGTCAGTCCAAATACATTACAGAGGTAGGGAGAGTTGAGGACCATATGCAGAAGTAACAGGTTGTCAAATAAGTTGCTTCTGTAATAGATGGTCCATTTGTGGGTGCTCGTTACATATTAAAAATGACTAAGTAAAATGGGCCATGCTGATTTAAAGTTAATTATGTTTAATTAATTTGCACCTGCATTCCAAGGCAAGGTAAAAAAAATAAACTGCAGAATTCTGAAGCCAGGATTCAGATTAGTTTCAGAAAACATTTAGATAAAACATAGAAAAATTTTATACAATACTGAATAGAGGCAATAATTTAACACATTCAAATTAATAATTATCTTTTTAATTATAGGCAGTTATTTTTTATTTTATATATAACAACATAAGCCCTTTGGGAAATAGAAAAATATGTAAACAAGGTAATTTCATTAAGAATACTCTAGTATATTTCCATTCGTCTATGCTTATTTTATCAAGGTGTCGTATACAGAATCATAATCTTTATACAATCCTATGTCCTGTTTGTTATATGCTTTGTCTCGTGATCTGAATTCACTTTATTAAGAATTAGTAATAACATTGTTTTTGGGTTGTTTTTTGTAATAACATTGTTAAATACAGATTTCACTTAACTATACCTTAATGTGAGATGGCTGAGGTCCTCAAAGAAATTAGTTCTGTTTCAACTACCCTCTATCGATAAATGCTATACCCATTAAGGTATGAAATAGAACACTAAGTCATCTGGAAAAAGTGCTATTATTGGACACAACGAAGGAGAAAATCAGGCTAAATTAGTTATAATTCCAGAAATCTTGTGAGAAACAGTGCTTTATACTGTCCCAAAGATTACTTTAACAAATGAAAATCCCTTATTTCCCAACCATTCTAAGGACATGAAGACTGGATTTGAAAAAGCCCAACTTACATACCTTTTCGCACCCAATCTCCTGTATGGATATTTATAGTCACGCCCACTAAATTACTACTTCGCTGTCTTTTTTCCCAGAGAAAATCAAGAGCTTTTCTTGCATATTCCTGTAATAAAAAAAGGAAAAGCATACTTGAATAACTTCATGTCTCTGGCAAACAGGAAACAAAGAAACAAAAATCAAAGGCCCATAGCATATTTTAAGGATTAACTAAAATTCCTAAGCTAACCATTATGTTACATTTCTTTACAAGCCAAATCTTGGCTCTTATTCAGCCAACCAAATGTAGTTAAAAAGAATGATTCTAAAAATGCTACTTAGTGGCGGTGACCTCACTTTGAAACCATCCAGGTTCATCTACTCTAGTAGTACAAGTTCACATTCACATACATGATTTATTAAATTATACTAATTTCTGGCATAATTAAGTGCACTTGATATAATAACTTCTGTAATTTAAATGCAAAGTGCAAATCTCCTTAGACACTCTTATTTAGGAAATTGGAAGAGACTTTAAAAGTTTGTATACCATCTTTGAAACACAAACAGGCATTTCAGACTCCACTTTTTAAATAGCATGTAACTTTGTTAGAGAAGAGTTGGTAAATCAACCAGCATTCATCTGACAACAAAATTTTTAACCTTATGGTAACAGTTCCTTTTGTTTTTTTCATTTATTTTTACCCACTGGACACTAAATTAAAATGATTTCTGATCAAATTCTTGGCTTTGGAGAAAAAGGTGTTATAAAACAAAAGCAAAGGATAGGTACAGGATATTTTCTAAAGTTAAAATGAATTTCAGGGCATAAATCTATTTAGCATTGCAGAAGTTCTGTAAAAGGAGGAAATCATCAAACCAATTTGTTACTTTGCAGATTTTCATTCCTGATTCAAACTATTTATGCTGATTTTTTAAAAACAACACAGATTACAACTTTAATTATATGCTATAATTTCAGAGCTGGAAAGTTTCATAAAGACTGTATTTCACTACTCCTATCTTATAGCTAAGAAAACAGGCCCAGTGAAGTCAAAGATTTAACCAAAGTTAACAGGCACAGTGAAATCAAAGGTTTAACCAAAGTTAGTATTATAGGACAACTAATATGAGAATTCACATCTCTTTATAGATTAGACTAAAAGTCAGCAAATTTTTTCTGACGAGGGCCAGATAGTAAATATTTTAGGCACTGTCTCAATTATTCAACTGTGTCACTGTAGCACAAATGCAGCCATAGACAAAAATAAATAAGCATGGCTGTGTTCCAATAAAACTTTATTCACAAAACCAGGCACTGCCTGAATCTGGCTCAAAGACTGTAATTTACTAACCCTGTATTAGACTGATGCTCTATCAACTGCATCAGGTTGCTTCTCTTATAATAAATTACTGAACATTCAAGAAGTTTTAAAAAATTATGATTTTCAACAGATTTCCTCAAATACAAACTAGCCCAGTGGAAAGAGTAGGGACTTTCAATTCAGAAAGGCAAGGATTCTAATTCCCCTCCCATGCATTCACCCACTAGCTGTGCACCTTCTCTGTGAGCCTCACTTTCCTCACCTGTAAATGTATCAGTATCTCAGAATTTGTAGTTCAACTTAGACAGTATGCAAAGTGACTCCACTTTTTAATAAAGGGAAAATATTAGTTAACAAATCCAGAAAAAAAATGAAACAAACATGATAAATCTGCCCTTGAGGCACTTTGAACACACAAAGACCATTTGACTTGTTTTATTTACACTCAAACCCAATGCCTCTAATGTTGGTATATACTCCCTACTTTTGCTTGCTCTGTGTGCACAATTTGATGAAGTTTTAAAAGTCTCCTGTCGCATGTATTTAAAAAGAGGGTGTTTTGGGTTAACATTGCATTCCAATGACAAGCTTAAATAATTAGATAAAATAAAAAGTGTAAGACACAGCTAGTCCACAACAAACTACTTGGGGGATATTAAGTCTTTTGATAATGAATAACATTTCCCTTAGAGTAAACAAACTTAGAGAAGACTCTCGATCAAGACGTAAGTGCAAAAATTTCACTGATTTAGATTAGGGAAGTTCTCAGAAATGCCACAGATGATCTAAGAGTCTAACAAATAAAACAAAGAGGCACTGTATTTCATATAAGACATTTGTGATATCAAATTCATATAAGTAATATGGATTTTAAAAATCTAAAAATAAACCTTAAAATTTATAGTTGGTGAAAAAATGCAAAATTTTATTTAATATATTTACCTCACAATGACTTCTACATTTCTGACAAAGACTGTGATGGAATGTAGACAAAAGTTCATTAAAATAAAGGTAATCCTCTGATTGATAATGCTAATAGTTGACCAATGAAGAACAGAATTAGTTATGCCCAATACCCAGGAGATCAAATAAAATTAGTTATGCCCAATACCCAGGAGATCAAAGACTATGAAAAGCAAACCTCAAATATTGTTGCTCCTGTGAATCGACTTAAAGCGGCAAACTCAAGGATCAAGGTACCTGCACACGCTGTACAGGTATCGGTCTCCGTTCCTGTCCGAGCTTCTGGTTTTCTGATACCAAACTTTAAATTAATCTAAATAAAATCAGAAGATGATTATTAGCAATTATCAAGAGATAACAACTCCTGGGTAAGACAATATTTTTCAATCAAGACTTCTTAACAAAACATGAAAATAATTCACAAAGTAACTAAATACTGAAATTCCATCTGATGATCTTTGTGACTTTCTAATTAACATCTAAGGAAGCATATTCTACGACATAATATTCATGGAGTAAATAAGTTTTCATTTAGTTCCTTCCTCAATGATACTGAAATTCAGTATCATTATAAGACTTACACAGAGAAAATAACTTCTATAATAATTCTGTTTGCAGGACAGTTTGAACTAATTAGTATAAGAGTAGGGAACTAGACCAACCCTAGGAGAAATTAGGTTTTAATGGAGAATTTGTGAAAAACCAGTACCATATTAGTATTTCTTCACAGAGAAAACAATGATTAAGTTATGATATGTATTTAAAGGAAAATTAAAATTTTGTTTTCAGGTTTTAAGTTTTAAAATGTAAAGTACATTGCCTTGCTAACAGGCCAACAAATAACACAAAAATTTTTTTTCAAAGGGTTAGTTTGTTTATAATTCAAAGATAGCCATACTGGGTGTTTTTTTTTTATGATACTACAGTATAATGGATTAACCAGAATCAAATTGACTAGAAACTGATTAAAATGGAATGTTTTTCTGTAGTCCAAATAAATAACCACAAAGCAAGCATATGTCAAGGGTTTAGCAGAAAAACCCTTGACAACAAAAAATCAAATATAAAACATCCTGAGTATGTTCACAAGTCAGTCATTATTCAAACTCTTATAAAAGAAGCTCAAATAAATTTATTTTTCTATTTAACTGCAGAATAAATTGGCAGATATGCCTATTACCTTAGCAATGTCAATCAATAGACTAGGAATATCTGAGCAAAGAGAGATGCAGGCTTAAAGGCATGGCAATGAAAAAACACCAAAAAACCCCCACAAAAAGTAAACCCCTAGCTGGTTTGGGGGGCACTAACAAATTGTTTGAAATGGAATACTCATTTCACTGGGGTTTGGGATATGAGACAACATCAGAAAGGAAGTTTACTGGCAGACTATAAGGAATTCTGAAAGTTAAAAGGCATTTACAACAACAGGGAGAATCAGTAAAATTTCTGAGAGTAGTTTGATAAAAATGTTTTAGTAAGATTAATTTTTTAAGTCTCTAAAACATAAACCAGAGAGAAGACAGTACAACAGGCATTTACAATAGCTTTGGAATAAAACGATATTGGTTGCAACTAGTGTAGTAGCAATAAGAAAAAAATGAGTGAAGCTTGGTAATGGCTGAGGTGTCTGACTTGGATAAGAGGGAGAGTAATGGTGTTAATAAAGAAAGAAATCAGAAGAGTTTTTTCTATCTTCAAAGACTCCTTTCCCTCTCCTTTAACTATAACCCTTTTTCTTGGGGGAGGGGGACATAAAACTCCTTCAAATGACTGCTGCCAACTCTCTCTAACCAACAGAGAAGAAACCTCAAAATGAATGGTCTCATACTTCCACTGACTGAACACTTCTTTCCCCTTTATTCTACCACACTACATCTTTAAGGCTCTCTCTGCACCTAGTTTTAATGTGTTCTAGACCATCTCCTTTTGAAGCTTTCTGTTTAAGATTTTCTGGTGCCATACACTACTTGATGGTTCTCCTCCCTACGTCTCTGCACACTCTCTTTCTCACCGCTCCACTTCCTCCCTCCTCCCCTCCCTCCTGTGTTCTCTCTCTAGCCTCTGGACAGTTAACACCTACTCTCACTGCTTCAACTGTATCTTCTGCACAACCCATTCTGTGCCCAAATTTTAGTCTGGCATAGGTTTCTTCCTTCTGCAGCATAATCTAATCTGTTATGCAGTGACACATAAAAGGCTTAGCCTCATCTAAATTCTTACACCACTCAAATCCAAATTAACTGAATTGTCTACATAAATTTGTTATTTAGCTATGAAGCACTTTTCTCCAGCCTCAAACAGGTGAGAAACAATGGCTCCAATCAAAAAAATTCACTGTTGTTTTAAATAGCAAAGGAAATATATAAAGACTACTATATTTTTCAGAATTACTTACTCTTGGATAAGGAAGGCCACTGGTAGTATTGAAAGCTGGTAAAAGTTTGTAACCCAATTGCTTTGCCATTTGCAGAAGTTCATCATTGTACCACTGCATGTACTCCCCCTTTTCTTTCAGCATGATTGCCAATGAGTGTCCACCCAAAAGACCCCTGTAATCACAGAGGCGAAACATTATCCACATCTTACAGATACTTGAAAGTCACCACCTAAAAAGATGTGGGTGTCTTGTTATCAACAACTTTGCACACGTAAGGAAAGACGAGAGAAGAACCTGATTTTTTACCTAACGCTGGCTACTCATTTATGGCAAACTTGTATAATCACGTAGCCAGTATAAAAAAAATTCAGATATTCTACCTGTTGTAAAGTGTTCGGCATTCTTAAAAATCTTACATTTTCTTAAAGTAAAACACATCAAAGCAGCACTTATTTTAACAAATTTGACAAATTTAATTTTAACAAAATTTAAATTTAACTAATTATATTACCATGAAATCTTTAACTCTCTTAGTATACATTAAAGAAAATTAAAAACAACTCCCCATTCTGTATTAAATGTAATACATTAATAAACTCTGAGAAGCTACATAACTGTTTCTTAATTTTTTTTAATTTTAAAAAATTATTTCTTAAATTTAATTGAAGAATGGACTCACTTTGACAAAAGTAACTATTAAATATAAAACTGAATAATGCTGAACTCTGAATTTATAAATACTGTACTTCTATATTTTTAAATGTTCGAGAATATTTCAAATTGTGCAGTTGAAAGGTAAGCCTACAATGTGGTTTCGTTTGGCTTGAAGAGGTGCTGGCCAACGCTAGCAAACTATACTGCTAGGAAAACCTGTGATGCGGTGAATATGCAAGCATTCCACCGACAGTCCTTTTTAAACAAAACACAGGGAGTACCTTTCATTTGGGTCTGCAACGATTTCCAAAGCCTGCCGCTTCCTGAGCCTGATTTAATGCAAGGTCCTCTCATAGCCTCTCTTTCATAATATCCCAACTTTTATCTTTTAAACATAAGAAATGTCTCACTTTATAGCCTCAAGAAATAAACAGTATGCCCTAAGCTTTTCTGTTATTAAAATTATAGCTTTAGTGTCTTACATACTTACCCAAGAACTCTGATGTTTGTTTCAAAGACTGATACAACTACATCATTATCTAAATTAACATCTGTTAAAACTTTTCTCACTGCATCTTCAAATTCTTTAGTTTTATTTAATACCTAGAATAAAAGCATGAAAATCAAGTTATTTTCCACAAAATCAAAGAGAAATATCCTCAGAATGAGCTATAACAGCAAGTTAATATCTTTATACTCTAAAAAGTGGCACAGACCAAATATTTCCCTTAAGCATATAATACAAATGTGAAGTCTAAAATGGAAAAAAAAACAACACCCCAAGTGTCTAATTATATTATAAGAAATCTTTATAAACTTCTTTTTTAGACACTGAAATATCATTAGGACTTTAAACAATCATCATCATAACTGTTAAGTAGTTTTTTAATATACATAATCCATGACCCGAGGGATGTGGTTTCCAAGTCTAAACAAAAAACCATCCTATGCACTAAACATCATTTTAAAAGTTGATTCCTCACAGAGGGAAGTACATCCTTCAGGGGATAATCAGCTGACCCTAAACCATACACCACCTGCCACCTTCGCCCCCAACTAAGGAGGCAATACAGTATGTGGTCAAGAACAAGCCCTGATTTGAATTTTGGTTCCTTCACATACTGCCTATCTAATCCCAGTTACTTCTATCTCTGAGTCTGTTCCTACATATACAAAAAGTGGGAGAACACCTATTCTCATAAGGTTGTTTTCTTAAATGAGGTAAAGTACTTCTAGTAGAGTGTCTGACTTAATAAGTGCTTAATACTATTACTATTATTATCATTATTACCACAAGGGTCTAGAATCCTGACTAAACTAAAAACTCTGTGGATTCTTGCAATGAGCTCCATGAAAGGGTCCCTGTCACCACACAGGTTGCTTTGCCTTTTCAGTCTAAATTAAGGTTACACAATTAGATGTTATTTAGATCCTAGATGTATTAAAATAAGTTTTCTGGCCCTGGCCAGGTAGCTCAATTGGTTAGAGCACCGTCCCCCTACGCCAAGGTTGCAGGTTCGATTCCTGGTTAAGGCACACACAAGAATCAACCAATGAATGCATAAATAAGTGGAACAACAAGTCAGTGTCTCTCTCTCTCTCTCTTTCTCTCCCCCTTCCTTTTTTGCTCTAAAATAAATAAAAATTTTAAAAGTAGTTTTCCCTTACTTGACTGTTTAACCTTTTCATTTGATAATATTTTGTAATGATTTCCCCCTTGACTTGATACTTCCACTAAAAGTTCTAATTGAGACATAAAATACCCTGTAAGAGTACCTGATTAAAATTCGGGTAAAAGTAAAAATCAGGGTAAGTACTGAATAAAATATAATATGAAACCTGATTTTAAATTGACTGCTTTCCCTTCACAATCTCAACAATCTATGTAAATTCTGCAGCAACAACCTTCCTGATGAAGGTGCCATCGTATAAGCTGACATACCTATAAGTGATCTGAATGTATCCATGATTCAACATAATTTCATTTGACATTCATGTGACATTAGTACCTCAATAGGGTGATTTATTTATAAGCAAAGATCAGTACATATGAAATTCTGAAGGCTTCTATTTCAAACTTACTGTGTGCATATTATAACATAAGTAAATTCAAGAAGAATCGAACCTACCACAAGAGTGTCCAAAGAATCAATCAGTGTCAGGGAAAATCTAAGAAACAAGTATACAAGATACAAAACATTAGAATTCTGATTATTTTATCCATGAATGTATAAGCAGATGGATCTATATCCTATCGACTAGCAGTTTCTACTAACTAGTAGCTCATGCATTTATAGTACAATGTAACCTATAAAGCGCTGGAAGAACTTGAAAAGCCTTAACATTACATTTATTTTCAGCTCCACATCCTCCAAAATGAATAGAAATATTCATTAGCTTTTTTTAAAGCAAATAAAAATATTGAAGCATCAACACCTTATAACGTATCAATGACTCTATACACGTTACAAGTGACATCTATCTCAAACAACTCAACTTTTCACTCATCTAAGAGGTAAACTGATTAATTTTTTGCAAAAGATAACAGAGGGAATAAAGGAACTTAATGTATACTTAAAGCAGTCATTGAAATTCATGCAATCCCCAGAAATATAATTTTTTACAAAACATAACAGAGGGAATAAAGGAACTTAATGTAATACTTAAAGCAGTCATTGATATTTAAGCAATCCCCAGAAATACAACTGTAAACTGCCCCTAAGAAGACTCGGACTTGGGAACTTTGAGATGCATGCCATCCAATGTTAATACTCACTTTCCCAAGGCATCGTCAACATCACCCCGACTTGGCTCCTGGCCTCTAACACGGCCTCTGCAGGTTAAAGGCATGAGTTCATCAGCTGGGTAAGCATGTTCCTACAAGGAAAATCTTAGTGAGTCAATAGGAAAATAAGAGAAAGCACACATCATTTAGAAATCATAACCTTTTCACAGCTTTTTTCTTTTTAAATAAAATAAAGGTTACTTCAAAAATGCTAGTATCCCTACAGTCTATGGAATCTTTTAAAAAGAATTTTCATTATAAATGTAATACATGCTTGAAAAACATATAAGAATACATTTCTTTAAAAATCTGATAATCTGCTTCTCCTCCACCCCACCTCATTCCCCAGAGGTAACTATCGTTAAGATGGGAGTTTATCCTTCCAGGTTTATATTAAAATACATGAACATATATCATTTTAAAATTTATTTACAAATAGATGCTTACATCATATGAACACACTACACTAAAATTTGTTTACTTAAATCATGATGGGGTTTTTCCACACTAAAATTTTATAGACGTCTTTTATTCCTTTTATTAGCTGCAAAGTCATACTTTAACACAGGCTAATGTTATGGAGTACTTGTGTTCTAAGTGCTGTTCTGTACACTTTAGTTTATTTAATTATCACACAACCCTCTGAAATAGATTCGAATATCTCCATTCTATAAATGAGAAAACTGAGGCCCAGAGGAGTTAAGTAAGCCTATGTTATGCAATCGGCAAATGATACATCCAGAATTCAAACCTGACACCTGACTCCAGAGCCTCCACACTTCACAGTACCCTCTCCTCACAGTAATCCAAAGTACAGATGTGCTAAAATTATTTATTCTTCTATTGACAGACATATAGGTTGAACTCAATTACTCACTACATCAACAATGCTTCAATAAACATCTATATGCATATATCTTTTGTGCATATGCTTGTATTGCTATGGACTAAATCCCTAGAAGCAGACCTAATGGGTCAAAGGTGTGGATATTTAATTTTTGATAGCTACTATGAAACTGAAGATATCAATTTACACTCTTTCTTGTTCCTCCTATACTTGTGTATTCCCAGAGGATTCTTAATTTTTGAAGTTCAGCAAAAATATTCCCCATTCCATGTCCAACTCTATCCTACTGCCTCTCATTAAACTCAGTGAAATACTTCTAAACTCACAGCACATTAGCAGCAGAAAAATAAAACAGAGGCCAGGAACACTAAACACATGGTCAACAGAAAGGGAAAGACCCCCACCCCCTACCCCAAATAATTAAAGTAGGCTAAAGAATACAAAAGTCATTGAAGACTACAACCCTTTAGGTATTTTTAAAAGATCAGTGCTCTATAATGATTCATTTCCCAAGAGAAAGAGTCCAGACAACAAATGTTTTGATGTAATTAGACTCCACGTTCAGCTACTAAATTCTGAATTCAATATTTTGCAATTTTAATATTATATATTTTTCATATAAATTCCCGATTATTTTAACGTGTGTCTTTTACATGTCAAGTTCCTAACTACTTTTTCAGTGTTAATTCCAATGGAATTGTAATTTCCCAGAATGCACACTATTTTTATTGCTTTATAGTTTTGTATTTATTAACAACACATATAAAAACACTTAGAAGTAACTCCAGAAAAGTAGTATTTTTAAAACTTGCTGATATATTTCAAAAGATATCATTCAAATGTTAATTTGATTTTAAAAAGTTCCTTTCATATCAAGAGTTACTTAAGCCACTAATTAGAAAAACTTCATACTACTATTTTTAGGGTTTTGTAACACACACACACACACACGGACAAACACTGATGTCTGAAATTAAATATGAAACTAAAACCCTAAGCTTAGCCAGATAAGAAAAATATTAATAGCAATGCAAACCAGAATAATCAAATAAGGGAGTTTTGAACCAGGTGTAAAAATACTTCATGTCCTCCTGCTTCAAGATTAAGGATAAAAACAAAACTAAAGCCTTTTCTTTGGGTTAACCACAAAGGGAACTACAGTTGGTTTGCATAAATCCAGAATAATGCATACGTGGCAAATAAACATCCGTATTATGCTTCAAACATCCTGGCTACCTGAGGTACATTAATACTTTCACTCCACAACGTACTGCCAGAACTAGGGATACGTAATTCAGAGCTATGACTCAGAGCCATGACAAACATTTAATTATCACTCAGAAACAAAACTCAGGTGTTAAAAGAGTTCAATATGAATTAAACAGAATGTGTGTCTAACTAAAAGCAAGAGAGAAAACAAAATAAAACAAAACATTAGACTCTCCACATTAGAGTCTAAATTTACTAGAGCTTTGAAGTGATAAAACTCTGAAAACACTCAAGTCAAAGCAGCATCAAAAACTGACTTTTCATAAAACCAATCCCAAGAACTAAGCAAAAGGAAGAGACTTTATTCTACCAAAAACAATGATACAACAAAAGCATTATTTATAAAAGTGAGTTATTGAAAATATCAAATCTATTTAATTTCTAATAAAGTTATGTACATTTTTAAAAGTTTTATTCAGGATCCTTAAAGATCTCCCTCCTTGAGGAAGATATTCCTTCCTAAAATAAAAACTAAATATTTAATAACCATCTATCACATACTGACAGCATACGCTAATTAATGACTGAACTTGCATAATTTATCAGTATTCTTTTCATTCCAGGTCAAATTTCCCTATTCCTTTTTGTTCACTATTTATATTCGCTCAGCAAACCATTTCTTGGGTGTTTAGAACTGCACTTATTTGGATTTGATCAATGATAAATTGACCTCATGAAATGTATGAAATAAATGATAATAAATAATAATGTTATAATGAAATAAAGTCCTGCTATTAACAGATTTTTAGGAAGAGTATATCAATAGATGTAGAAAAAACACTTGACAAAATTCAATACATTGTAATGAGGCAAAATCTCAGCAAACTAGAAATAGAAAGGAACTCAATCTAAGGCATCTATGAAAACCAACAGCTAACACCCTACTTAACAGTGAAAGGCAACTGCTTTTTTCCTAAGATCAGGAGCAAGGCAGGAATCTCACAACGTCTTTTCAACATAATACTAAAAGTCCTAGCCACTGCAATAAGAAAATAAAAGGCATATAGATTGAAAAGGAAGAAGGAAAAGTCTCTTTGTAGATGACAATGACTGACCATGTGGAAAATCCTAAGGAATCTACCCCAAAAAGCTACTAGAAATGAGTTTAGCAAGTTTGCAGGACATTAGGTTGATAGACAAAAAGGTTTGGGTATTTCTATATAATATCAATGGACGATTGGAAATTAAAATTTGAAAAACTACAACAACTTATAACATCAAAAATATAAAATATTTATAAATGAATATAACAAAAGATGTGCAAAACTTATGTAATGAAAGCTACAAAACATTGCTGACATTAAATAAGATCTAAATAAATGGACAGAGACACCATGTTGGATTGGAAGACTAAAAATTGATAAATTAATCTCCCGAAATTGATCTACTACTGAGTCAACATAATCTCAGTCAACGGATCAGTAGGCTTTTTTTTTGTGAAACTTGACAATATGATTCTAAAATTTACATGGAAATGCAAAGAATCTATAATATTCAAAACAAATTTGAAAAAGAACAATGCTGAAAGACTTAGTATCACACTTAAGACATTGTGAAGCTGGTGTACAAATAAATCAATCTTTACCTCACACCATATACAAACATTAACTTAAAATGGATGCTAGCCTGGCCGGGTGTGGCCCAGCTGTTGAGCATCGACCTAAGATCCAGGAGATCACAGTTCAATTCCCAGTCAGGTCACATACCTGGGTTGTGGGCTCAATCCCCAGTAGGGGGCATGCAGGAGGCAGCCAATCAACGACAACTCTCTCATCACTGATGTTTCTCTCTCTCCCTCTCCTTTCCTCTCTCTGAAATCAATAAAGATATATTTTTTTAAAAATATAAAATAAAATAAATAAAATGGATGATAGATCTAAATAAACAAGCTAAAGTTACAAACACCTAGAAGAAAACAAGAAAATCTTTGTGTCCCTGGGCTAGGCAAATATTATTTAGGTAGGATATAAAAGACATGAGTCATAGAAGAAAAAAGGGTAAATTGGACTTGGTCACAATTTAAAACATTTGCACTTCCTTCAAAAGACACTGTTAAGAAAATTAAAAGGCAAAGCACAGACTGGGAGAAAATACCTGTAAAACACACAGGGTGGGCAAAAGTAGGTTAATAATAATAATAATAATAATAATAAATAATACAATACTTAATAGATAATAATACAAGAATGAACTCTCGCATACAACTGTAAACCTACTTTTGCCCACTCCTGTATATGTGATAAAGGGCAATAATCCAGAATCTATAACTGTTAGGACTCAATAATAATGGGACAAATGACCTGATTTTAAAATGGGCAAGAGATGTGAACAGATGCTTCAAGCAAAAAATATATGAAGCACATGGAAAGATTTTCAACATCATTAGTCATCAGGAAAAATCAAATTAAAATCACAATAAAATGGCTAAAATGAAAAGACTGAAAATACCAAGTGTTGGAGGGGATATGGAATAACTGAAACTCATACACTGCTGGAAGGAAATGCAAACTGTTAACAGCCACCTTAGAAAAGTTTGGCAATTTCATATAAAGTTAAACTTACCCTTCCCATATGACCCAGCAAGCCCATTCCTAGGTGGGAAATATATGAAAATGTATGTGGACACAAAAATTTGCACTCATAGGTTCATAGCAGTCATTTTTAAATAATAGCCAAAGACCAGAAACAAGCCAAATATTTATCAACTGCTGAATGTATAAACAAATTGTATTCTACCAAATCAACTAAATACTACTGAGCAATAAATAGAAGTGATGATAAACCCAACAACATGGATAAATCTCAAGAACACCATGCTAAACAAAAAAACCTGAATCAAGACTACATACAGTATGACGGCAATTATATGAAATCTTAAAAAAAGGGAGAACTATAGTGACAAAAAGCAGATCACAGTGGTTCCCAGAGGTCAGGTGGGGAAAAGGAACTGACTGCGAAGGAGGATGAGAAAGCTTTTGGGGCTGAAGGGAAAGGTTCTTTATCATAATTGTGAGGTTAAACACCTATATAGAATTGTCAAAACTCAAAATCAAGCATTTAAAATTGGAAAAATTTTACCTGTACATTATTTACCTAATTAAACAGAAAGATCTGGGTCTACAGAGTTAAAATCCTATATAGAGTATCAGAGTGAGATAATAAAATTTTCTGAGAGGATGCTACAGAATTTCTTAATGGCATTTGGGCAGTTTCATGATGTTCTAGAAGTAGAGGCCGAGGAATGATGGTTGACAAAAAGTAGTCCCACAATCATCTACACAAAAAGGCATGAATCTTTATCTTGCCTCCTCCACATCGTTAGCACCACTTCTAGCCTACCTTATTTACAGAATTACTCCTTTTGATAAGCAAACTATCAAAAAGAAACATTAGGTACAGATTCTCAAGTGGGGAATATGAAAAACTTCTGAAGATAGATGGTGATGGCTAAATAATGCAAATATACTTAATGCCACAAAACTGTACACTTAAAAATGGTTAAAATGGTACATTCTGTTATGTATATTTTACTACAATAAAAAATGTTTTTTTAAAAATTAGGGAAAAAAAGTAATTCTAAGAAAACTCACAAAAACTAGAAATCCATAAAGAAGTTACATTTTAAAACAGTTCTTTTGGCTTGAATGATAAAAAAGACTGATCTTTTCTTTGAACTATGCTCTCACAAACTGAAGCACAGAAGTGATTATTAGGTATGATCCTACTAAAGTGTGCTCACCAACCAACACTTTTAGAATGTATTTGCCATGTTTAGAGCGCCACCAAAGTAGTTTTTGCTTATAACAGTTTAATTGAGTTGTCTCCAGCAGACAGTAAGTCAGGAAAAACACTGGAAGACAAGGATCAGATCAGAGCTCAGGTCCAAAACAGTTTTGCATTTGGTGGCCTAAATACATGTCATTTTGTCATCTAAATTAATCTGCAAACTGACCTCGGAACAAATATTAAAAACATGCTAATAGAAGCCCTAAAGTGGTTGTAGTCTGGGGTTAAATAAGGGCACACATGATGTGCCAAAACAATCAAATTTCATGTTATTTAGGGAAAAGAGAAAGCCATCTGTACAATTCACTGTGGATAAACTGCAGTTTGACTAGGGCTAGAGATTTGTCAAACATAGCTGTTATAATGTTAATATTTATGCCTATAATTGATAAAATCAGAAAATTCCTGGATGTAACACCAAGGGACAGCAGAGATGTACTACTAAAGCTGGCAGAGAGCAAGGTTACTGAAAACAGTGTTAACAGAAAAGGAAAGGAAAAAATACCCTCAAAAGGTACATGCCTAGACCAGGAGGAAGTTCAATGTACAACCTGAGGAATGAGTTGTGAGTTAAAGCCTAGCAGAATTTTCGGAGGGCAATTTCAATCTCAGGCAGAGAATGAATGATGACAGCGGTAGTGATACTAGCAGCGGCAGTAAACTCATACAGTGCTTCCTGTTTGCTGGACACTCGTTCTAAGCACTTGTATTAACTTGTTTAACCCTCACCACCCAGCGTGAGGCAAGCAAACCATTTCAGGGAGATGAGGAAACAGCCTCAGCATTATAACCCAGCTGGTAGGTGGCGGTCACTTCTGAGTGTCCTGCTCCCTTTCTAGAGTTCTAGCTCTTAATCATATTCTATTGCCTGTCTTTGGAAAATACCACTGTTTTCCTGGGAACCAAAGAGGCAAAAAGGAACTGCTCTAATTGTAGACTGGATTGGAGAGTGATATTAAAAAGAACTAGTAAAAAATGCAAAGCTTTCAACATTTATTAAAAGCCCACCATGTGCCAGGCATTTTTACATTTTAGCACAGTAGGCAACTGACTACTACAAAGTAAATTAAATATAAAGACTTATATATCTCAAAATACACCATAAATTTGTATTTTTAATGAAGTTTATCAAATGATTTCTTTGAATTTAAAAGGCAAAGATATATCACAATAACCAAAAGTAAAAAATTAAGCACTATTTAATTGCACCTTCACAAGAATTCAATTCAGTTTCAAAAAAAACCCCAACAACAAAAACAATAAGCATTTACATACCAGGCATCATGCTAGACACAGGACATATAAAAGATGAATTTATTAAAAATTAAAGAAAATGGTCTGTTTTCAAAAATCTTATACTCTATAATCTTACACCCTTTGCAATCATCTCCATTTTGCATAGGAAGATACTGCTCAGAGGGGTTAAATGATCTGAGGGTCCAAGCTATAGAAAAGCTGAGATGAAATTTGAACTCTAACCCACCTAACTCCAAAACTCATACACTTTTACTCTACAGCAAGCTGATAGTGCTTCCGAGTGTAAGAACTAGAAAAAAATTTCAACTGTCTTCAAATAACAAATACAGAGCACCTGCTCTCTTTAATATTTTAGAACTGTTTCATGTTAGTTGAGAACCTGAAAAGGGGAAGTGTAAATTCTACACTAAATCTTGGGTTGCAAAACTCACATAAATTGAGCAGGTACATTGCAAGAATCACTCATGTTGTAAAGAGTTGAACATTTTAAAATAAATATTGCACAGACTGCAGATGGGTGTGCCTCTACCAGAAAAATGGAGGGGAATGTTAATTCCAGTAGTTCCCAGTCTTTGGAGCTGAAATTCCTCTCCTTTAGATCTTGTAGGTGGGTAGTTGTAATAGAAAGTAACAATAGGGTCCAATAAATAGGAACTGGAATAGGAAGTCCTCTGAGGGCCACCCTCCATACCTGCTCTGTCACAAACCTATTTATTAAGTGCATTCTATAATAGGAAAAGTATACTGATAAAACTTTCTGCTGTTTACCTAATAAGTGACAAGATATTAAAGATACCATGCTTTACAAAGAGAGGATACCCTTCATAGTAATACGTATTGAACGGATGCAGCTATATGCCATTTTATTTAACTTTGGATCCAAAAGTATGCATTTATGAGATGGCTAAGGTATAAGGGTTTAGCATGGATCCACTTGGCCACCTCAAAACCATTAGCCTAGATTTGTTAAATTATGCTTCGCCCAAGCTGAGTTAACCAGGGATAAATGGCAACCCCCCCCACACACACATACACACATACACAGGCTCCAGCACCAACGATCACCAGCTGCCCAGATACCAAAAAATTATGCTTCCAAACTCTCTTTATGTTGATTCCGCACATAGAGCAATCAAGTTGCCCTACATGTGCAACTCATAACAGAAACCCTTTTTTTGGATAATTTTGAAAGAAATACTAAGGAAATGGATGAGATCTTAAGAAATGAATTTAAATCTGTGTTTTCAACATGGTTAAAAATACCCAAAACTTCATCACCACCATATTCTACAAACATTTATTAATAACCCAATATGTACTTTTAAAAAATGTACAATATGAAAGGGAACAAGGATCATCAAATATAGAACATGTTTAAAAAATAAAAAATGAAAAACTATATGCACCTAGATGTTAATATATGAAGGTACTGGAGTAATATATAATGAAAAATGGATTCCTAGAATCACATGAAAAATATTTAAAAGCAGACTGAACTAGTTAGTTCTCTGTCAATCTTTTCCCAACTACATTTTTACAGGCCTTAATCATAAAAGAAAATCTGCTGACATTTTAAAGTGTAAAAACAAGGTCATAAGTAGTAATTCTCAGAATAACTTGACTGAACTCTACAAAATTACACATAAAATTTTCTTTTGAACTCTAAAATTTAAAAAAAAAATTGGTTTGCAGTTTAAGATCATTTTATTGAAGGACAAACAGTAGGGAGAGATGGGGGCAGCTATAGCACCCCCACAGCCCCACTGTGGGAAACAGACCCTCCTCCCCACCTACCACCTCCCAAAAGGCTCCCCCAGGAGCCTAAAAGGAAATTAGATTATTAATAATGGTAAAATAATCTAAAAGGAAATTAGATTATTAATTGTGGTAAAAAAAACCCTACACACAAAAAAACACATGTAACATAAAATGCACCATTTTTAAGTGTAAGTTTAACAGGTTTAAGTATGTTAACTGTTGGGCAAAAGATCTCCAGAACTTTTTCATCCTGAAAAACTGAAACTGCTATTTCATCTCAAGTGAGCACTAAGACATTTTAAAAGAGTATGGATCACCATATCAGAAAGCAAAATATATTCACATCAAAGCCTACCATGAGGACATAATTTGGACAGAGGCTTCAAGATAAGTATTACTGAAAATAGTTTTTGCCCAGCCCATGTGGCTCAGGTTGGTTGAGCCCTGTCCCATGCACCAAAAGGTTGCCGGTTTGATTCCAAGTCAGGGCAGATGCCCATGCTGTGGGCTCGATCCCCAGTAGGGGGCATGCAGGAGGCAGCCAATCAATGTTGCTCTCTCATATCTCTCTCCCCCTTACTCTCTCTCTCTAAAAAGCAATAAAAACATACTTAAAAAAGAAAGAGTGTTGTTGTTGTTGTTTTACTTAAGAAAATAATTTTCAAGGCTAGAGATAACATTTTATTCATGTTTACATCCACAATATCTGACTACAGAAAGCACTCAATAAACCTTGTTGATAGCATAAATACAGTTTCATAATCTAATTCAACTTATTCTTACCTATTCAATAAACTGATTTTCATAAGAACCACTACCAGAAATACTGTTAGCTTATGTTTGTACTAATTTTAAAAAACTTGTTTGTTTAAAAAATGTGTTATTAATTCAGGTTTCAAAATTCTCATGACTGTGCTCACATAATAATCAGTTCACATGAATGTTATATAAAGATAAACTTTCTACTTACCATGTAGTTACCATAAGCATGATCAAACATTTCCAGTACTTGATTCCTAATTTTAAAAGAGCAGAAATAGAAAAAAGTTAAGTGTATTCTATTTATTGTCTTCCAAAAAGAAAACACTCCTTCATAAACATACACCATAAAAAATAAGCCACCAGTGTTTACTTAGAAAAGGGCGAACACAGAGTCAGGAAACACACCCGTCAGTCCACAAGCTTCCATGGACCACGCAGAGCTGGCCGGACTTTCAGGGTTCTTCCCACCGACTCATGTAAAATTTACCTTAAAATTTTTCCAAAGAAAACTGATGAATGATGCATGCCATGCAGAGAGAAGGAAATCTGATGCCGAAAAACATGACCTCTTAACAAAATTATTTAACATTTGTCTTGAAAGGAAGAATATTGCTGGAGAGCCCCCAAAAGAAATAATTATTGCTTACATATAATCTACAAAAGAGAGGCATGGGTATATACTGTATATACTGATATGAAATAGCAATACTCTATCAAGCCTCTGCCTCTCCCCTTAACGGAATACAATCACTAATACATAGTTTAATACATATTTATGAATATGTTTGTCACGTTTTTCAGAAGATACCTTTGATGATTTTAGGGTGTACTCTCAGCTCCTTTTAAAAAAAACTGTCATATGTCAAATAAACAATATTCATCTCTAAAATGAGAAAACTAATCCTCAAAAAGAGATCTATGTGTTTTGGCTGTTTCTCAAAATCCCCAAATTGACAGTTAAATGGAAGTTTCTGATCTCCACACCATATTTATTAAGTCAAAATCTACAAGGTTGGGACCAATGAATCAGTATGTCAATTAAACATACTCAAGTTCAGGGGTTTGAGAGCTACAGGAAAAACTATAAAAGTTAATGTTATGGCTAAAACCTCAATAATTAGCAAGGGAAAAATAGTTTAATAATCTTTCATTAATCTTACTATTATTCCCAATTTCCTAATGGCAAGAATTGAAGAAGTGTTACAGAAAATGTCTGGGTATAATTTTATTTTGCCTCTTGCTATATTGCAATTAAGACCTGACAACTTTTTATATTAATCACTTAAAAACATCTAATCACTAAAAACAAAATCTTATCACTTTGCTAAAACATTAATTCTTTGAGTTTATATGTATCACAGGATATGGATCAAGTTATCTCAGACATTCATTATATGCAGGTAATAGAGATCTCTCAAACTAGCTAATAAACCCAAAAAATAAGAAGTTAAAATTTCCCTTTCAAGCAGTGATATCAATAAATGGAAAATGAAATATTCTTTTTTCTTCCCCTGAAATAAAATTAATACAAGATTATTGCCAAGAAGCAGAAATTCCTGTGTCAACGGTAGTGCCTACACATATGTATTACAGAAAACATAACTTTAACCTGTTAACTCAACTTTGCAAGCATTCAATTTTCAAGATTATAAATAAATTATGAATGCATACAAGGACACATTATTTTCCAATCCTTACATTTATACGGTTCATGATCAGCAAATTTCACAACACATACTTCAAAGTGGAAATACTTAATGTCCAGTTAACTTACTCTCTCTAACATAAAAGTCCTAACAAAGTCACATTTAAATACAGAACAGTAGGATAATTACTATATTAAACAAAAATGTTTCTATACAGTTTTATATCTATTCAATGAATTGGATTAAAATGTATTGGAAATCAGATCTACAGTTCAAAACTTATGTCTCTTTCTTCATTTCAAAATAATTTCTGTAAGTCAGCTTTTTCTGAAGTTACAGAGCCTGCCAACATGCTAAAGAAATTGGATTGTTTTATACTTCGTTTCAATGAAAATGTAATATTAACAACTGCTATAACATTTGAAACACAAAAGCAAAAGACAACTTATTCTAGAAAGGATAAGACTACATATGACTAGGTAAATAATTCCAAAAACTCCAAACTACAAGCAACTGAGCAATTGCTTATTATTTGGGACAATTTCAGTCTGTATCATCAGTTTGATTTGGAAGGAGAGGAAAAAGCAGGGCATGATGCTTTTTATCATAAATCATATTTTGGCTTAAAAAAAATCTCACAGGTAAACCTCGTGAATCGAGAGTTCATTTTCCTAAAAATTTCCAGAGGGTAAAAGCAGTCAAGCAATAGTGTATTTGGGGTTTATAGCTCTAGACTCTTAACTCTACACTTACCCTAGAACAAGGAAACCTAAATCAACAAGCCTAAATTACTGCAACTTCACTTGCATAAATGATCTCAAATTTGATGTGAATTGGTTGGACTTTTCCAGTTAAAAATTAACTTTGCTCAAAAATGACTATTCTTCACTAGAAATCTATAATAAAAAGGGGAGAAAGGGAAGTGGTGGTCAAATAAGATACTTGCTTGAAGCTTCTTTTTCCAAGTCTTATGAAAGTGCAGAATAGTGGAGAGAGCATGGGCTCTAAGGTCATAGCGACCTGGGTTTGAATACTGGCTCCACCATCTAGTAGCTCAGTGACTTTGAACAAGTCAGCCTTGAGTCTGTTTCCAAATCTGCAATGGGGATCACATCCACCTCATTAAGAAACAGGGAGGATTACAGTGAGAACATGTAAAGTGCTTGAGATAGAATCAGGTTTTCAGTAAAACAGTTATCTATGATACATTCAATTCATAAAGAAAAAATTTAAGATACTTATTAGAGTTAACTGCTGATTTTTTTTTTTTCATAACTGGTATTTTCTCTTTTCTCCATCAAGCTCTTTTATTGCTATTTTATTTAAAAATACAAGACTCTTGCCCGGCCAGTGTGGCTCAATTGGTTGAGCCTTGTCCCATGCACCAAGAGGTCACAGGGTTGTGGGATAGATCCCCAGTAGGGGGCATGCAGGAGGCAGCTGGTCAATGTTTCTCATCAATGTTTCTCTCTCTCTCCCTTTCCCTTCCTCTCTAAAATATCAATAAAAACATATTTTTTTTAAAAAATACAAGACTCTTGCAACAACATAAACAATAAGAAAGTATATAAAATAAAACCTGATGGTTTCACCTCACCTCCTAACCCCAAAAGGTCATAATCTTTCCATGTTTTTCTGGGCTTAGACAATGTCTTTTCTATTTTTTTTTAAATGGGATGGTACTATACCTATTATTCTACAACTTGCTTTTTTTTTTTTTTTTTAATCTTAGGAATAAATATATCCTGGATAGCCTTCCAATGATCTACCTCCTCCTTAATGTCTGAATATCATTCCATAATATGGATGCTCCAAGGAACAATTTTGTTCTTTCAAAATGTGCACGTTTGTACAGTTATCTCTACGTTAACAGTGCTTTTATTTCTGTAAGATAGATTCCTGGAGGTGGGATTAATGAATCAAAGAGTATATACAATTTAAATTTTAGGAGTTACAGCAAGTGTCACTCCCACCAAGGTCTACTTCTCACACCCCAACCAGCCAGTGCTCTATCCATATGTTTTGCATTTACTAATCTGATGATTAAAAAACAACTGTCTTGTTGCTTTAAAATGCATCTCTCACATTTATGAGGTTACTTTTCATGTTTACTGACCATTTGCATTTCCTCTTATGTGAATGAACTCTTCAAGCCCTTTACCCATTTTCTACCGCTTCTTGGCTTTTTTCTTATTCATTTGTGGAATGTAAAGTATATTAGGAATATCGACTCTGAATTAAATGCTGTAAATATAACTGATAATTTTATGACACTTTCAAGGCTGATAAAACTAACCTGAGTACAGTGAATAGGTATACCTAATTGGGGGCTTCTGAAAACACCATCGGATATTAGTCTATTACGAAAATGCGGTGCAAGAAATGGCAAAATGTGTCAAGTTCAAGTCCCAACGAACGCCCCCTTTCGCCGTAACAGGTGTAAACATTATTTCCTGAACTACTGTGAGGTCGGCAACGTTTTCCCGGCGGGAGCCCACTTGGGCGAGACACCCAACCCTGTCTTCCAGGAACCACCACCCCGGGGCTCCGCCGCGCAGCGTCGCGAGCTGCAGCCCCCTTCACGGGCCACCGGCACGGCAGCCGCGCGGACACACCGCAGCCGGCCGCAGGCAGCCTGCACATGTCACCGACGGCCAAGGCGACACCCCGACAATCCCCCGCGGTCACAAGCGGGCGGCGGCCCCCGCCTTCCCGAAACCTGCCCGCCGCGCCGGGGTCGTCGCGAGGCCCCCGACGTCCCATCGCGACGAGAGAGAGGCCGCTGCACGCCCGGGTCGCAATGACAGGCACCTCGCCTGCGGTCAGCCGCACGGGGAAGCCCACCCATTCGCCGAGCCCCCTTACCCAAGCTTCTGCCTCTCCTCCCGGCTCATGGGTGCGGCCCCCGCCGTCCACACGGACGTGGCCGTCACCAGGCAGAGCGCGGCCGTCGTCGCCACCAGGCTCCATGGCGCTCGCTGGGGGACCGGGGACCCACAGCCCCGACCGCCTCCGGCTTCGCTCATGGCCCCGCGGTTCCGCGCACGCGCAGCGGCTACGCCCGGCCGGTGGGACACATCGCCGGACGCGGGTGGCTAGGGGGCTGCGAGCCGTGCCGAGGGCGGGATGCGGAGTCAAGCGAGCGGCCGCCGTCGCCGAACTGTTTCCCGGAGCCACCGAGCCGGTCTTCAGGGCCAGCGCTGCCGCCGCCCTCCGCCCTCAGCAGCCGGAGCACCTCCCCCAGCTTTCCGGTGTCGTAGTCTAGGAAACCACCGCCCCCGGCGCTACTTCCGGGTAGGGCCCCAGAGGTTGAGCCCCGGGACCAATGGGGACCGCATCGGAGAGGGGCTGGCTCCGGGGCTAGGAGACGGCATTGGCCCGGAGAAGTGAGACGTGGCCAAAAGGCGGGACTGGGGCGGGATCTGTCGCTCGGGCCCGCCTCCGACCCGTGAACTTGCGACCTGAAGACTACCGGTCCCAGCGTGCACTGCTTCCTCCCCCGCGGTCCTGCAACCCCACTCCTCCAGCCTGAGTTCCCAGCCGGTGCGCGCACTGCACCCTGGGAAGTGTGGTCCTCCGCGGGTCCCGGGCGGGTCCTGGGATCCCGCGGACCCCGAAGGGGAGGCTCCCTGAAGCCAGCGCTCCCTAGGTGCAGCCAGCCCTACCTCCCCGGAGCTGGTCAGCTCTTTATCCCTCTTGCCGCGAGTGACGTTTCCCTGAAGGCCAGCAGGATGAGGCTCACATGTCCCTGGCTCGGGGCCACGCACTTTAGGGAACAGCTCTCGGGGACACTGCAAAACACTAACTGCAATAATGAATCGCGCCTTCGAAGGCAGCACCCTGAGAGCTTTACTTGCAGCCTCTCATGCACTCTTCCCAGCAGGAATCGGTCAGTACCACCACCCCCAGTTTGCAAACGAAGAAGCTCAGGCTAGAGAAGTGAGGGAGCAAGCCCTTGTCACGCTGCTGCATTAGGTAGGAGTCCAACCAGCCTTATGACTCTGGAAGCCCTTGCGCGCAGCCACGAGGGTGAAGCAGAGCACGTGAGGCCTCCCACCCGGTGAATAATAGTTACCTAAATAGCTCACTGTCAGGAGAGCGGTGTGAGCTGCAGAGAAAGTTTAATGCAGGAGGAGGGAATTTGCAATTTATTTTTTTATGATGGAGTCCCAGGTTAACCACTGGTAAAATGAGGCGTAGCTTCCGTTTAAAAAACAAAACAAAACAAAAAAAAACCCACAATGTTATTCTTGTGTGATAATTCAGTAGGAAGGTGGAGAGTTTAGGAGCTTGGATATGATCTCTGTGACCACAGGAAATCGCTTACTCAATCCCTCAGCAGCACTCAGCTCTCTTTCTGGAAACTTTCCTTCCTTGATTTCTGTCACCTTGCATCATCCACTGACCAGGTGACACCAGTGACTCCTCTTCCTTCACTGCCTCTCTTTCCTGCATGTTAAGGTTTTCTTTCTGTCTTTTTTCTCTATATACTCTATTCCTTGGTGGTTTCTATCATTCCTATGGGTTCAACCGTAATACCCCTGTGGTTGATTCCTAAATCAGTATCTGTCCTGATCTCTAGACACACATTTCCACCTCCCTAGTAGAGATTCCCTTTTGTCTGGCCCAAGGGTAGCTCGAATGTCCTATGTTCACTTGTTCAAATTAATGCCTCAGAATCATCTTCAACCAGTCCTCCTCCTCCTTGGCTCGTGCCCAATCAGTTGCTAAATTATATAGTTTCTGCTTCTGCTATCACTTCCTTTCTTTCTCTCCTCCTCCTGCTTAGTTCCAGGTCCATTACCTCTTTCCTAAACCATTGCAACGGCCTCCTAAATTATTTTCCCGCCAACGTACTTTCCTGTACGTTGCTACCAGAATTGGAATTCAAGGACATCTGTAAACGCTCTGAACACATCATGTTCCTTCTACCCCTGCCCTGCCCTCAAGTAGTATACAACAGATAAAAGATTCTCATATACTTTGTTATATACTTTCTATAACTTTGCTCTTACTATCCCCTCATCTATCCCACCGTCTTTGTCTGTAGAACACTCACCACCCATTAAGTCTCAGATTCCATCTCCAAAAAATCATCCCCAAACCTTCCGGTCATTAGAAGTCATCCTCTCCCCTCTTCTTTCACTGTGTTCTGTGTCTTTATTATTGCGTTTTTCACGGTCAGCCATGTCCACTAGATTAGGACTGCTTGGAGGGTATTGACGTTAGCTTATTTATATGTATGTTCAAAAACTCAGAACTGTGCCTCTCTGTTACAGATGCTCAATAAGTGTTAGTATACTTGTTTTATTATTTCTTCAGTTGCCTTATCTATAAAATGGGGATAATATAATCCTTTTATCTACTTACATAGAGGTTGTGAAAAGACATGAGGTCATTTCTGTACAATATTTAATTTTATCGTTTTTATGGGCCTGCAGCCCTGTATTGCCTCCATCCTGGATCCTCTTCGGCAGCTTTAATGATGAAGTTAGCTAAATAAATAATACCTGTGAATTATTCTTGGCCCTTGCATAGAGAACATGATGAACTAAAGGTCAACACCCATCATCCAGTATTTGAAAACTGGGAACAAAGAAAATAAAAAAAATAGTCAGTGACCTTCAGTACTGGCTTTCAACGTATAGATCTTCTGTTGTTGTTTTTTCCCTTCCTTGGCTTGTTTGTTTTCAAACTAACACTGCATTTTAAAAGCGTATAATAAGAACCTAGAATATGTTCTTCATTGACTTGCTAAATAATAAGCATCTTTCTCTTTCTTACTGAAATTCAATTCCTAGCCAATGATTGAGCCCATTTTCCACTAATCTCTGCAAAATCCTAAGTAGAAAGGCTTGTGCAGCCTAAAAAGCATTGCAACTTATCATATCTAAGGTGGAGCCCCTGGAAATGAAAGAAAAATATATTCACACAATGCACTTCAAAAGAGAACCCATTTTAACCCCTTAATGCAGATAATAGAAATTCTCAGTTAACTGGCAATTTATGGACACTGAGGAAATTTTATATTCATTGTTTTAAAACCTACACACATTATTTAGAACCTGTCCACTTAGTGATGAAAAGGGTATAGGAGTTAAACAGGAGAGACCTTGGCGTGTTGTGCTGGGGGGAGAGACACTGGTGGGAAGCATTCAGGAGAAGAAGAAGTACTTTTAAAGAACATGCACAAGATTTTAGATGTGTAAGGCCCATTCAGAATGACAAGAAACAGGAGACATTTCTGAGATGCCCTTTTAACCAGTTAAGAGTTTGTTTGCACAGCCTTGTGACTTATGTAAATACGTATGCTCTCCTGGTGTTCTCTTTATTTACTTGCTGGGAGGGATCAGGAGTTAGGGCGGGGGAGAAGTCCTGGTTAGAATCATATGGGTTCACAAACATAAGGGAGAGTCTCCACTTTAATATTATGGCTCAGATATAGTCCCAGGAGGCTGCGGCCAGCTGTGTGACACTGACTATACAGCAGCAGTTGCCCCTAAATGATCTGAATGCTTTAATATGACAGATCTAATTACTCTGAAACTCTGGCGTGGAATTTGGGAGTGGTGATTTTGTCATTCTTCAAATCACTGTTCCTCTCCTATGATAGTGTGTGGCATTTACAGAACACTTTTCTTCTTGAGAACCCAATCTTGCAAACATTAGAAAAAGACAGTCCTTATTCTACATTCACAACCGAGGACTCGAAGGCCCTGGAAAGAGTACTTCATGGAAAAGGTGCTCAGTGAGTGTTGTGGACCTGACTCTATGCTTGGCTGTCTGCCTGACTCCCAAATTCCAAGAAACAGAGTGGGAAATGTGGATGATTTACTACCCCCAATGATGTTTCCAGGGCTTTTTCTACCTTCAATCATGATTGAAGATCTTTAAAATCACTTCAACTTGAGATTATTATTCGACTTCTCTCAATGACACCTGCACCAGCTCGTGCAGGCAAGAGATTTTGCTCCTAAGTCATGTTTAATGTTAAGCTCACTCTCGTGGTTGGGCCTTTCATTTAGCAGCCATTTTCCATTTACTTTATGTATCAGGAAAAAAAAACAAGTCCCATGGCTCTTCACAAGCTAGTATATCTTGCCCCTGTCCCTCTCCTAAATCCCCTTCTTGCACTACTAACAGTGTTTACTTCCCATTCCAGTCGGGACACACAGGCTTTAAGCCAGCACCATTCAACAACTTTCCACACAGGTAACAAAGGTAGAGTAATGGCCAAGAACAACGGCTCTGAGCCAGCTCTGCTACTTATTAACTATAGTATCTTAAGGAAATGACTGAATTTCTTTGTGCCTTAGTTTCCTCATTTGTAAATGGGAATAAGAATACAGTGAGCCCTCCGTATCTGTGGGTTCCACATCCAAGGTTCAACCAACCGCGGATGGAAAATATTCTCCCCAAAACTTACCTTATTGCTGGCACGCACTATATACTTAGGCCTATGATGGTTGAGTCTGTACTGAATACGTACAGATTTTTTTTCTTGTCATTACTCCCTAAACAATACAGTATAACTACTTACATAGCATTTACATTGTTTTAGGTGTTATAAGTAACCTAGAGATGATTTAAAGTATACAAGAGCATGTGCATAGGTTACATGCAAATCCTAGGCCATTTTATAGAGGGGACTTAAGCATCTGCCATTTCGGTATCCGCAGGGGCCCTGCATCCAATCCCCTAACTAAACCAAGGGACAACTGTAGTGCCTAACTCAGCATTTTTTTAGGAGGAGCAAATGGTTTAATTGTTGGAATATCTTCCTTACAGGGGTGTTGTAAAGATGATAAGATGATGTGCGTAAAATATTAAGCACAGTTTGAAAGAGCACGATAAATAGTTGTGCTATTGATAGGCTCCTTAATATGGGGTAAGATTCTAGGGTGAATGCAGCTGTTCCACAGCCCCCACGGTCCTGATTTTACTCTCAGTCCTGAGTCCTTTTTATAACTTGAGCAATTTATTGGATGGTGATGCCGCTCACCAAAACAGAAATCATAGGACGAAGAGCAGTTGGGAAGAGGGGGATACATGAGTTCAACTGGGACATGGTGAGTTTGAGTTTAAGGGTCATGCTTGACATCCAAACGAAGGAATACAATAAGCAGCTGGATGTACTGGGGAGGGGGGGCGCAGAGAGAGATCTTGGCCAAATATCAAAGATTTGAGAGCAATCAAACACTATAGGTGGTAGTTAAAGCCATGCATGGAAAAGTAGTTCTTAACCTGACAGATGAGGACTCCTAGAGAGTCACCAGTTGCTTCAGGATGTCCTTGGAATCCTAAAGTTATGTGCAAAGAGCCCTCCCCCCAGAACGAATTTCACCACATTCTCCAAGAGGTTCATTACTCCAAAAAGGCCAAGAATGAAGGGTGAAAAGAGAAGGTTCAGGAAGGAACACTGGGGATCCTCAACATTTAAGAATATCAAAGAAAAGAAGATCAGAAAGTTTGGAAGCAAACCAGAGAGAAGAGTCACAGAAGTCAAAGGATGAGAAAGTGCCCAGGAGGGAGCGGTCAACAGTGTCCCGGCTGCAGGAAGTTCAAATGACGTAAGGACACAAAGGTCTTCATCTTACTTGCAGATTCCCTTGGGGTGGGTTCTGTAAGCTGGGAACACTCAGCAAAGGTTGACAGGATAATTAATCCATGAAACGATTGGAGAGGAGTCAAGTACAAATGAAGTATGTCAATGGAAGGATTAATTAGATTTGCTTTTATAATAACAAATGAAACAGGAAATTAGACAGTGTCTACGAGGCCATTTTATAAAATCTGTTAAGTGGTGAACTACATCTCTAAATACTTCAGTAACCCCCCTTTTGCTATATTATAATGCCTGAAAAAACAAACAGTTATTCTGGAAGCAGGTGCATGTCGACTGGATTATGTTACCTGGGAGGTGGGCCACATTAGCTGGCTAAAGTTTTTGTGCAAATACTATTAACTCACTACTTTCTTGGGTTGTTAGTTGAGATTAACATAATGACTTTTTATTTGCAACCCTTTTAAGTACAAAAGTTTCATAAATACTGTATTGAATCACTTAATACTAACAATCCACCTAAGCAACTAGTCTTAGAAGCCTTCTTTCTAAGTTAAAAAAAAAAAAAATTTCCTATGTCTTTTAAAGAGATAGTCTCATATATAAAGATGATTAAAAATAGACAAAAGATTTGAAAATAACACAAATGATAGTAACGACAATGCTAAAGCTTTTTATTAGTTCCGGTATAAACCAAGATGCTACAAGAAAAAGATCCAAAATACAATGATTTCTACAAGAAAGAAAGTTGTCTCCCTCCCAGATAATATCAGAAACAGGTGGGTGATTCAGGGCTGATGGGCAACTGTACTCCACAAAGTCATCCAGGAACTCAGGTTGCTATTCTGCTCCCTTATTGGGGTCTCTATGATAGAAGCTGGTTCACTAGCATCACATAAACCTTTCCGCTAGTCTGGAAGGGAGAGAGAGGAGGGCAAGCAGTTTTCTTTATACAGGATATGACCAGGAAGGTCCACACATCACTGATGCTCACGTCTCATTGGAAAGGAGTTAATCATTGGCCTCTACCTGGACTGACACGTGCCCAGCTTAAACTCAGGAGATTCTATAACTAGACAGGAGGAGAGAGTAACAAATGTTAGGAGACACTTGGCATTCTATGCCAAAGTCTGGCTTTGGTGTTTTTATAGTCATGCTTATACTTACCGTGAAGACGCAGATAGGACTTTGTGATATGTTCATGGATTCCTAAAATGGGTTAACTAAAAAATCTGTCCCATTTTACTTTTAACTTTGCTTATTATATATAGTTTATCCATCAAATCCCTAAGTACTATCAACAAATAATAGGATCTCCTTTGGAGAGGTGTTAAAAAAAAAAATCCTTCTTTTGTCTGAGCCTTGGGTCAATTTTACAATTGCAGAGGTTTTGCCAGCTTATCTTTAGGACTTTCCTTTTTCCTCAGTATAAGATGCACAGAGATAATGTGTTAAAGGAAATACTGCAAGGCAGCTTCCCTTGAGAGTACTTAAATCTCCTGACAATAAAAGACACAGCTAGTAAACAGTAAAGGCTGTAATATCAGTAATTACAGTTTCTCCTAGAATACAAAATAATTAAATACAGGATTAAAAGTATGAGAGGGTTATTTACTGGTCTACTTTTGGATAGATGGAGTCTGTTAGAAGTTGATAAGAAAACTTAATGGTTTGCCAAGTTATTTAATTTACTTAATATTAGATTTTGGTGAGAAAGCAGGGAAATTAGGAGGCAGGTCACCCAAGGAAGTGTGAGTGTATGCTAGTTACACAGAACTGTTTTCCTCTCACTTCCGTTCCTCCAGTGTACCAGGGAACCTGGAGTTTAGAAACCATTTTTGTGCATTTATGAAGTTTTCTTTGCTTTTCACTCCCAGAAATCTGATTCATGATTTCATTAATGGTGTATTCTAGAACTGTGCTGTTCAGTATGGTAGCCACTAGCCACATGAGGCTATTGAATGCCTGAAATGAGGATAGTTCATCAATGTATACTGGATTTCAAAGATCTGTTTTGAAAAAGTCATGTAGAGTCTCTGATGATTTTAACATTGATCACATGCTTAAGTGTTGCTCTTCTGTTGTTTCATGAAATATTGCTGCAGCTCCATTGCAAGGAATTTCATGCTGAATGACAATTTGAGGCATCTAGATGTGAGTGTGAATAATATCCAAGATGACAGGGTGCTGGTCTTGATGGTGCCCCTGGTGTTTCCAAACTGTAAGCTATGGGAGATGGAGCTGTGTGGTTGCTTTTTCACCAGTGATGCCTGTCAAGACATTGCCTTAATTCTGAGAAAGAACTCCAACCTGAAGAGCCTGGAGCTTGGGAGCAATAACATTGGGAATGCAGGGATGGAGCTGCTGTGTGATGCTTTGAAAAATCCAGTCTGACAGTTAGAGAACATCAGGCTAGAAGAGTGTATGTTAAATTCCTACACTGCCCACTGTTCACCCCCAAAATTCCCTTATATGCCACTCCATAGTCAAACTCTCCCACTAACCCCAACTGCAGGCAACCAATGATCTATTTTTATCTCTATATTTTTCCTTTCCCAGAATGTCATATAAAAGGAAGCATATAGAATACATTCTTTTTTTTTTGTCTGGCCTCTTTCACTCTACCTACTTATTTTGAGACTCATCCATGCTACTCTATATGTCAGTAGAGCATTTCTTTTTATTGTTGAGTAGTAGTCTATCATATAGATAGATTACTATCCATATGCACATTCACCAGCTAAAGGACACGTGGGTTGTTTTCTAGTTTTTGACAGTTATTACTACAGCAACTATAGACACGGGCATACAGGTTTAGTTGGTTCCTCTCAAGACCTCCACCAGTCCCATCCCAGCCATACCAAATAAACATATAATGTAAGAAACTATACAGTAGTTTCAAATAACCTGCTCACCTCCAATTCCAATCTGATTATTGGCTCTAAATAGAAGTAGTGAAGGAGCCGCTCTGGGAATGATTCTTGCATACTGGATGCTTGGTGTGGAAGGAGAAGAGTGGTGAGGTTTATGCCACACCGAGTGTCCCATCTCCCCCGGACTTGATTTCTCCCATGTTCCTTCCTCTCGTTTGAAGCTGTTGGGGTAGACAGAATTAAAGCTGAGATTATAGACAAGGTTTATGCTAGGCAAGGAAGCAAATACTCCTTTTGGGCTCTCCCTGGCCATGTTCACCCTGGGAATTTGGGTTTGCTGATGTAGAGATCGTGTCCACTGTATTCACCTCTGTTTGTCCAGCACCCAGTAGAGTGAGTGCCTGCATATAATAGATACACAATCATTATTTTTCGGATGAAGTGAATTCATGAATGAATGAGCAACTGTTGACATTGGTGAGTATTGCTTTACTTACAATTATAGAAAGAATGAACGTTTCACTCAGTGTTACCCACTGAAAATAAAATTGTTTGAACAGCAGTTCAATTACGTCAAGAGTAATTGCCCATTGCTATATTTAGACATAATCTAATTCCTAGAGAAATAAGCATATGCAGTTTCAAAGCATAATTACATGTGACATTAAGTGACTTCCCTGTGGATTTCTTCCTGATGACAGAAAATTAAAAGTTCCATAAAACAGTGACAGTGACTCACCTCTTCCTCTCCGAGGGCTGTTATTGCATTTGCTTAAAAGATGAAACCAGCCCAGCGGGGCGGGGCTCAGCAGCTGAGCATCAACCTAGGATCCAGGAGATCACGGTTTGATTCCCAGTCAGGGCACATGCCCGGGTGGTGGGCTCGATCCCCAGTCGGGGGCATGCAGGAGGCAGCTGATCAATGACCATTCTCTCATCATCGATGTTTTTTTTTCTCTCTCTCTCTCCCTTCCTCTCTCTGAAATCAATAAAGATATATTTAAAAAAAAAAACAAAAAAACAGCCCCATTCCACATAAATATGACATCTGGACGCCTCTTCAGGGATGAAGATTTTATTGGAATATAGGCACTTGCCAGAGTAAATATGTGGTTACAAAGTGTATTAAGTTTATTTGCTTTACATAATGACCTCAAAAATACACAAAAAACAATCCACAGTGTTGATTTTTTTCTTGAAGTCGCAGACTTCAGAAGGCAAATCCCAACCCCATTTGTTTATGGTAAAGAAGGCACAGGCAGCCAGCTTTTTTACCTAGTGAAACCATATTATTGTTTTAGTCAGTGATGTCCTTCCCTTCCCCACATTAAAATTGACACATAGCATATATCATTTAGCACTTAGTATAAAGAAATAAAGTCACCTGTCTGGGAGAATTGTGAAACCCTTAGAAATCACTGGCTCCAACCTGGAACTTACAAATCCAGACTTGAGAATCTTCTGAAACAAATGTAGATGATCAGGCACAATGACCTGTGGTTTTTCACACTTAGCCTCTTTATAAAGCTTTTGGACAAATAAAAAAATCTCATCCCTGTGGTTTTCAATATATATATATTAAGAGAAATTACTCTCCATAATGCAAGGCACTACTGCCTCAGCTCCAAGCTGCAAAGGAGCAAATGATGAGCTAATTTTTTAAAAGAAAATATCATTTCTTTGTGAAAGGTCAATAGTAATGTAACTAGTTTAAAGTCATGGAATTTTTGCTAAACACCATGTCTTGAGGTTTGATGCATTTCCAACAGATCTGCCTGTAGGGGAGATCCCCAGTGCAGCCTGCAGAGCGAGGCTTTCATGCTGCTCATGGAGACCACAGTTAACCTTGCTCCAACCCGGGAACCGCTGAAGCAATACAAAGAAGACCATACTGAAAGCAACAAACTCGTGGTAATATGAAGTTATTCCATCAGCGTGTTACAATGAATAAGGAATGTTTTTAATGCACTTGAGCTTCCTGTTCCATCTACAAATGGAACAGTCATCCTGCATAGTCTAGTGAATTTGTCTTTTGTGAAATATATACAGAAAAATTATTTGATTATGTCCTCAAATGCATCATCCCACTTAGTGCCCGGTCCCCTGAGGCCCAAAGGATGGGTAAAGGGAGGGCACCGGTGCTCATCCATCCAATGCAGTGAAGGGTACTCTCCTTTAGGGTTGGAAAAAATGACTTTGCGTTCCAAGGGTTCAAGAAGCCCTGATGGGAGAAAAGGGAGAAAGCTGGGACGCTCCTGCGTGGCGGGTAGCCTGGGCTGTGACTTCCTCCCTCGCCGCAATTCTCCTGGAGAGAAAGGCAGTCCTTGGCAGACAGGGCTGGCTGGGCACTGCTCCTTTGGCTCTTTGCCTTACTGGGCAGAGCATCTGACCATGTGGCCATCTGCCCTTTGGACTTGATTTAAGGGAAGACTCCCCAAGGGCAGAAAGCCCAATTGAAAAAAAGTCTCCCTGCAGCACCAAATAGCACCAGCACAGCAGAGGGGTGGGTGCTGGGTTCTCACATGTCCTGAGCAGCCTGACACGGGCCAGCTCCTTGCTAGGCACTAAGGATAGTCAAGTGACTTGAGGAGGCGGGGAGCCATTATTCAAGGCTGTGTGTTTCTAGCAGGAAGCACAGAGGCTGATTAAAGCCTAGTTTCTGTCCTCAAAGAGAAGAGCCCCTGGGAGAGACAGGAGGTAAACATAACTTCAGTATTCCATGCTAAATGCAAGGATACGAGTGAGCACTGAGTGTTACGGGGACCAGGGAGGAGTGGCCTCTCCTTCTTTGCGTGTAAGGAGATCCTTCCTGGCTGTGAGGATCTGAGCACTCTAAGAAAAGTTGTAATAGGAAGCTATACCGATACTGATTATCTTTCACCCTTTAAAACCTAGAAACCCAAGAAATTCTTCATGGGGAGGTGGAGAGGGAGGTATTTGAATTCCTGCTGAAATGGTTAACCCGTGGGACAAATCCTCGAAAAAACTGATGTAAACTTACTAGCTGATGATGATCGACACTAGCTTTTGGGACACTACGTTGGGATCTAATACTAAAACTTGTGGAAGGAAACATGAAGATGTAATATTGGGACTGGAGCTTTTAGGAAATAAACTCCCATTTTCTGAAGGACAATCGAATACTTCTTTATTTAATAATCCTTTGGAAGTCCATTCCACCTTTAACATTAACAGTTATAGGTCACAGTCGATTTAGATGTCTGTGTGTCTTTTCCCCCTAAAGTGTAAGTTCTGGGAGAAAGGAACAGGCCTTTTTAAACCACGATCTCCAGCACCTGGGACATCACAGACTCAACTTGCTAAGAGACTGAACAAATGATGTCTACTTCCGGTAACATCTTACTAACCTGATGGTATGTATATATCTTGGCTTTTTTCTTTCTCTCTCTCTCTTCTTCTCTCTCTCCCTTTTCTTTCTCTTGCATTCTTTTTTATTCATTTTATTCACGTATTCACTTTACTTCCTTCTGGGAGCGAAGCAGGACTGTTTCAGTGGGAAGAGGGAAAGCTTTCTTGCCAGCCCAGAAAGCATATCATTTGAAAATTGGTGTTTTCTTTGATTAAATTCCCTTGGGCCTTTTAATTTATACTGAACAAGGCACCTTATCTTTCCTCCTTCTCTTCTTCCTCTGTCTTCTTTTTGGCAGGATGCCTAACACAGCGTGTGGCATAGAGTAGCTGTTTCAAGAACATTTGTTTAATTGGTAGGCTTTACGCCCAATAATTTAGCTAAGCCCTTTCTCTGCACGGTCTAAGGCTAATCTGGAATGCTTCAGCAGGCCAGGGAAATTTTCTTGCCTCCTCTGAGTTTCCCCAAAAGGTGACTGATTAATAAGAATCAACAAGGTTCATGAACAAGACACTGATAGCAGATTTAGTAACAGGCGCAGACAGTTCCACAGACCACAGCCTTCCTCCGTTTCCGCTCAGCTTCCCCAGAGCTCTCAGGCTCCGCGGGGCTGCACACGGCCGTGGGGGCTGGTGTTTGCCACCTACCCTTTCCTGCAGCCTGACTGTGGACAAGTGCCGAGTCCTTAAGAGATGGTGAAGTCGGTACAGCAGACAGTGAAGCTGGATTTACAGCAGATATTTGCGTTCTTGCAAGGAATTGGAAAGCCTTAAAGTGCATTAGAAGAAACTGTGCAGAGTGTATTGCAAACCGTGCTCCTACTGTTTTCTCTGTCCTCAATGCAACACCCTCAGCTGCCTCTCACCCCAAACACTCCATTACCTTTGTAATCCCTACAAAAATGCTAAAGCGACAATTCATGGCAAACAGCTCAGTTCCACAGAGGTTTGCCTCAGTGCTCACACGCTGTGTGCATTCCCTCCGATTTCATCCTACAAATTAAGGAAGTACTTAAAAAAATTTTTTTTGGTAATAATCCACATGCACCCCCTAAGCGTACCCATAACTAGCCCATTGGCTGAGTTTGTTGAAAGAGATACTTTTGCCAAATTGCCCCTTTCACTCCTCTGAGCCTGCCTCTGGGGGACTCTCCCTCGAATCCTCTCTCTGTGGACCTAGGATGTCGTTAGGAGGATCCTCAACCACCCACTGACACTCGTGAACACGGGCACCCTTAATCTCCTCTGCATTCACGCTGGCAGTAGCCTGGGCTGGGCCTCTGTTCCCTCCCACTGCTTCTTCCACAGAGACCTGGCTCTCACTGAGGCCGATGGGATCAGAATTTAAAGTGCAGCCTCCTTGTGGCATGGCCTTACCTCCTTCGTGGGTGTCAGGTCCGGAAGGCCTCCCTGGGAGCTCCCTCCCACTGGGCTCCCCAGCCTCTGCTTGCTCCTCTGTGGGGCCTGGGCTGGTGGCACCCTGGCTGAGCCCTCCACAAGCTGGCTGAGCCTCTGCACATCCCCCCAGCTCCACCCCACTGGCCTCAGCCTCAGCCTCAGCAGGGGGAGAATGGGCCTCCCTCTCCCTGACCCCACTGTCTGCACAGTTGCCCTGACTAGAAGCAGCTGCCTGAGTGGCCTCTGTGTCAATTTGGGTTGTTTCCGCTTCTTTTTCAATTGCTTGGGGAACAGGGGTCTCCTGCTGTGTATCTTTTTCCATCTCGAGGGCGGCAGACACCATTGGTACTTCAACGGTCACCGTCAACAAATTTCTGAGCTCATTCAAGGAGCATGAGGCAGAGATGGATTCTGACTTTTTGTGGGCAGTGGCTTCTCCATTCGCAGGAGTCCCTCCAAACTCCAGCTCTGATGAGAGTGTGGCCCCGGCTCCAGCCATGTCCTCTGCAGCCACGGGATTCACAACAGGGTCACCGATGCCTGAAATAACCACCTGCCCGTCCCCACCTGGGAAAGAAAGGCTTTCTCTTTTGGCCAATGGACTAGGGACCCCAGGCTGCTTCTTTTCCCCTGATTCCTGGAACACATCATTACTCAGGGTCTCGCTATCAGCACCTCCTGGGAGAAGGGCAGAGGCTCTCCTGGCAGGGCTGGCCTGGTTTGACCCTGCAGGGGTCTTCAGATCGGTTAAGCTGGACACGCTTTCACTGGGCAAAGCCATATTGTCTTCAAATAAGTTGTGTTTCTTCAGGACAGCAGCCTCCTTTATCACTGAGACACCAGAAAACAAAACATGGCGTTAACACCCTGTCCTGGGGATTGGCTTTTCTGATTTTACCCAGAAGCCAAACTCTCCTCTCAGCTTCTCTGGCTATCTAGATTTCTCAAGGTCAGATTCTAGCTTACGTCCACCCTCTTCCAGGTAGCCTTCCCTGATGATAGATCGAAGCCTGCAAACTCATTCCAAACTCTGGGCCTCTGTGGTCTTCATTCCTTCACTCATTTATTCAAATGGCAAACACTTACTGGGCACTGACTATGGGACAGGCTCTGGGAATCCAAAGATGAGTAAAATGTGGCCTTTGCTAGCAAGGAGCTCACAATCCATAATGGTATCACCTGTATCACTCATGAGGCCCCCATCACATTTTATTTATCAGCTAATATGTGCAGTTCCAGTTTTTCCCCTTGACTGAAATGCCTCTAAGACAGGAGCAGGCCTTACATTTCTCTGCTTCTTTCCACAGCACAGTCCTGCATGTGTAACGGGTTCTCAGTACTGAGCGTGCAGAGAGAGCCCTGCTGACCTGTTGTCTCCAAGATGGGTTTGGTACTTTCGCCCTAGCATCTTTGTTGTAGATATCTTTGCCACAAGCACTTTTTTAAAAAAATAAGTTTTTGTCAATTTCAGAGAGAGGAAGGGAGAGGGAGAGAGAGATAGAAACATCAATGATGGGAGAGAGTCATTGATCGGCTGCCTCCTGCACGCCCTGTACTGGGGATTAAGCCCACAACCCAGGCCTATGCCTTGACTGGGAATCGAACCGTGACCTGGTTCATGGGTCATGGGTAAATGCTCAACCACTGAGCCATGCTGGCCAAATGCCACAAGCAATTTGATTCAAACATTTACACTGCATAACTAATTGACTGTAAGGCAATTTTGCCTTAAAAAAGATAAAATAACTGGTTGACAGTTTATTTTTTGTTGTTTTTTTGTGGGTTTTTTTTTGTCAGTTTGGTTTCATTTCTCCATTGACGAAGTAGTGGAGAAAATAAATAGTGGTGATTTTTAAATAGTTAGCATTTTTTTCCGGGTGATGATGATTTTTGCCCCAAGAGTGAGTTGGTTGCTTATTTTGGAACATTACATTCGGAAGAGGAAGAGAGGCACTCAAGGTCCTCTGAGGGTGATGAGTTAAATCCACATTTCCCACAGAACAAGGACAGGGCCTTAGGTATAATCCACAAAATAAAATCAGCTATTTGCACAGTATTGCAATGAATCCACACACATTTTAAATGTATTTAACTATTTTGTATTTTGCAATAAAGTCTTTTTAATTTTGTTATTTGGTTTTAATGTGTCTCTTTGAATTATCGTAATTTTATCTTTTTTTATGGCAAAATTGCCGTATGGCCAATTAGTTATGGGGCAAAAATGTTTGTGGCAAAAATGCTTACAGCAAAGATGCTACTGCAAAAATAACTAGACACGCCAGAATGAGGATCTCTGTACCTCCAGCTCAGTCTCAGGCCTTGAGAGGAGTAAGAACAGTAACGATAATGACAACAGCTAACATTTTTGACACTCGGCCTCTGGTTATGGCCGTGCAGGTTGTACCATGCCCAACAGTATCACCTCCAACGGGGTGCCACTGACATCAGAGAGAGCATAGGTCTCTGCAGTCAGCATAATAATTTCCTAGCAGCTAGCAGTAGAGTGTCCTGTTCTAAAAATCAGCATATTGTGGCAATTTTGGACAGAGAGCAGTGAAGGGTCTGGAGGAAGGGAAACTTTTTCTTTTTTAAAAATATAAAGTTTTAAAAATTTTATGTTTTCCATCACCATTTATCTCCTCTATGCCCTCTTCCACCTCCACCCACCTCTTTTTATAAAATAAGGAATAATTTTATTGCTGTTATCATTTATTCCCTAGATTAGGCAAATTATTATTTTTTCATTTAAATGCTACTTTTTAATTATAGTTTACATTCAATATTATTTTGTACTAGTTTTATGTATACAGCATAGTAGTAAGACAATCACATATTTTACAAAGTGTTTGCCCCGATATTGCCAGTACCCACCTGGCCCCATGCATAGTTATTACAATATTATTGACTGTATCTCCTGTGTTATACTCTACATCTTTATGACTATTTTGGAGCTACCAATTTGTTTTTTTTTAATTGAATTTATTGGGAGTGACATTGGTTAATAAAATTATATAGGTTTCAGGTGAAGGGAGCCTTTTTCCAATTCACACCAAGGTGCCGTGGTGGACTGGCGGTGGCCTTGACCAAGCCCTTCCTGCATGAAGACTCTGTGCTGGCATCTTTACATTCCTTATCTCAGTAGATCCCCTGTAACTGGGACCTGGGCTTGTGCTTGGCCAGCATTCCTAGTGGAAGGGTTTTGTGATGCTTGACATCTTCCCCACGGAGACCGAATTTATGGATCCTAGTTTTATGGATGGCCCTCCATATCTCTATCAGAGTTTTCCTATCCACACTCCTGTCCCAAGCAGGGCCTGCTTCCACAGTGGGTGCGGGAGTCCTGGCAAGCTCACAGCGCACTGGGCCATCGCCCTGTGTCCTTCGCTGTCCAGCTGAGAGGAGGTGAGGAATGTTTTGGGAGAGCAGCTGCTACTGGGGTCACCTCCTCCTGCTCTGGGCGGGGTCTTGATCCTGTGGCTAAGAGGAGTCCTTTTCCTCTGTTCTGTCTGGAACAGCTGGAGGACGACAGCTGTTCCTGAGACACCCTAGGTTTAATCTCTCTGGATTTCAGTTTTCTCATTTGAAAAACGAAGCTTCAAATTCCCACTTCACAGAGTTCTCATTTGTAATGAAAGAGAAGAATATCTAATTTGCCCACATAGCGTTTGCTCAGTCAGGGTTAGCACCCTCCCTCCCCTCTCTGTCTCCCCAGCAACATCAATTGCCCTTCCCCTTTCATGCCTGTGAAGCAAACCTAGCTGGCCGTTCTGGGCCCATCTCTGGGGCGCTCCCCTCTATCCAGAGTTCCCTCCAGTACCAGGTGAACCTTCCTCACCTTTCAGGGTTTCATCAAGGAGCATCTGATGTAAAATCTCCTCGTACACGTTTTCCACATGGATCATGTTGGTGTGATCAGCGAAGATGAACTGCTCGTATTTCTGAAGTTCCTGAGGAGCGAGAGACAGAGGACCAGGCGTGAGATGCGGGTTCGTGGAGCAGAAATGGGAAGGACAAGCCTGCCCTGGCCAGCGTGTCTCAGTGGTAGAGCATTCACCCAGTCACTGGAGGGTCACAGGATGGATGCCCGGTCAAGGGCAGTGCCTGGGTTGCAGGTCTGTTCCCTGGCAGCAGTCAGAGTGCGGGAGGCAACCAATCAGTGTGTCTCTGTCACTTCCATGTTTCTCTCCCACTCTCTCTAAGAATCAATGAAAAAAATACCCTCAGGTAAGGATTAACAAGAAAAAGAAGGGGCGAGTCTTACTCCTGACCCCTCCTGGCACCACACCTTATACTGGGTGCACACACAGGGGGTAGATTGAGAGATTTGATCATCTCAAGGGGTGTCACTGAGTCTGGTTACCCCAACATAACCAAAGTATTTCTTTCTTCCTTTTTCTTAAAAAACACCAGCAGGACTTTCCAAGGTATATGTTATACAATAAAATGCAAACATTTTAAAAGTACAGCTCAATGATTTTTAAATCTACACATAAACCCATGAAACCGTAACCCAAATTAAGATCGAGGACATAACTCCCACGCCTTTTTCCAGCCACATCCCCCCGGAGATAAGCACCCATCTGGTATCTATCACAATAGCTCAGTTTCTCTTGTTCTTGAGCTTTCTGTAAGTGGAATCGTCCATTCTTTTGTGTTTGTTTTCGAGATTCATCCATGTTGCCACGTGTATCTGTAGCTTGTCCTTTTTATTGATAAGACATTCATCGTATGAATAAACTAAAATTGTTTATCCAAACTGCTGTTGATGGATATTCAGATTTTTCTCCCATCTTCTGACTGTGAGGAATATAAATATTATGAACATTCTCGAGCATGATTTTTGTTGATTTAATGACTTACTCATCTTGAGTAGATACCTACAGGTGAGACTACGGGGGCTTGGAGTAGGTGTGTGTCTAACTTTATTAGAAAGGTGTGGGCATCTCTAGTCAAGGGCTCTCCAGGAACCTTCTCTTTCCCTCCAACTGGTCCTGGCACTCACCTATTCTTCTAAGACAACCCAGGCGGGATGCAAAATCCTTTAACCCTTCCTGCATCCCAAGGGTTTCCAAATGGCTTGCCTGTTATCAGCATGAGGACAGAGAAGGTATCAAAAAGCACCAAATAGTATTCCAGTGATTAACTTAGTAAACCTTGCACCTGAGGGTGCTGGAAAAGGGCTCCCGACAGGTGGCTCTTAGAGAGCCAGGGACTTAGCAGTGGGATTGGATGTCTTTTGCCTGGAGGGACAGGATTTACAGCAGGTGATCAGAAGGCACTGTATTCAGACGACCCTCAGTGCTAGGATTCGGGGCTCTGTAGTAGCCCAGGACCAGGTCCTAGCAGGCTCTCATGGTGTCCCTTTATACATACCCTAGAGGAAAGACAAAGGATTGAGAGGCAGGAGCTCCCAGGACCCCAAGAGGGTCTGTGAGACACACAGACAAAGACTGTGTAGTAGGAGCTCTGCCCAGGAGACCGGACCCTGCCTTGGACTGGCTGTGGGACCCCCGGCAACATCATCACTGCTCTGTACCTCTTTCCTCCTCTGTGAAATGAGGGGCCCGGGCTCATGTCTGCAACACCCTTTCATGTTCCCACGTGGCCTCCATTCCTTATTCCACTGATGATGATTATTCACCCCCCAAGACTGGGCAAAAGCAGGACCCTGCAGCCCACTACTTAATCCCTCAGGTCTCCTCATTGCTACAACAAGGATATAAAAAGTACCTCCTCCTAGGGTTGAACTTAGAACCACTGAGCTAATCCATGCAAAGTGTTTAACACAGTGCCTCGAACGTGGTAAGCACTCAACAAATGTTAATTGCCTCAGTCTAGCCTTCTTAGTCTTAAGAAGGCTACTGCAAAGTATTACTAGCTCCATTTTCTACAAGATGAAATCGAGGACAAGAGGGAAGAAAGGTGACTTGCTCAAGGCCTGAGAGCCGATACCTGGAGAAGCTAGAACTTGAACTCAGGTCTTGACCCAGCCTCCAGGGTCGGATTTCCTATTACTCTGCTCTGCAGACTAAGTCGCACTTCATAACCACGGCTGGTTGTCACTGGTTGCCTGGGGTTCAGAACAGCTTTAAATGATTCATTTCATCAGTTTCACTAAACAAACGTTGCTGGATTTAACAGAGCAAATATCCTCCTGTAATCAAGCATGTTACTTGAGATCTTTTCCTGGTGGTAGTGGCCAAGTTGCAGAGGACACGTCGGACCTAGGAGTCATTCTATAATAAGGAACATCTGGTATTTTCAGGTGTTCTGCGGCAACCCTTAGCTTGACTCAAACTCAGATCGTTACCCTTCGAGATTTTTGTCCAGTCCAGGGGTCGGCAAATCCCGCGGGCTGCTTGGTTTTGTAAATAAAGTTATGCTAAAACACAGATGTGCCCATTTGTCTATGTATAGTCTATGGCTGCTTTGGGGCCATAACAGCAGAGCTGGGTAGTTGCAACAGAAATAGTATGGCCCATGGAGCCCAAAATATTTACTATGGGACATTTACAGAAAAAGTTTGACAACCCCTTCTACTGTTTGCAAGCACATCATGGCCAATATAAATAACTAAATAAATAAACCATGCTTGGACTTCACAGGGGATACGAGCAGGCTCTCTGGAGTAACCCAGCCCTTACTGGTTTGCACGTGGACGCCAGGGCCTTCTGCACGGTGGGAAGTGTGATTTGAACGAGTGCCTCTTGAAATATCGCCTTCCGAACGGTGCTGCTGTCGTAATCATATTGCTGTCAATACAGAGAGGAAAACATATGCTCAATAGCAACACTGCAATCTGTTAACTTGCGCTTAAACAAAAAACTCAGCCACCCACTTCATCTCCTCCGCCCGCCCCCAATTTCTGAGGACCCTTGTGGTGTTTCCAAGGTCTCAGAGATCTTTCTGTGCAATTCTCACACTCCAGGTGGAGGTTATGACTGATAATGACCCATCTTACCCTCTCCTCTTACAGGTATGGAAACTGAGGCAAGATCAAAACAGCAACTCCTGCATTATAAAGAAGCTGGGGATAGAACTAGGGGGTGAATTTGTACGTCGTCACCCCTGTCCTAGGTGGGTTCCTGGGAGCCATGGTCATCTACTTCTTTCATTCGACATCCCAAAAGCAGGATTTGTGGGTTGTAGTGATTTCCACGAGGGAAGAGAGTCTGGCTCAAGCTACATCAACACTATGGCATGTTCACCAAAGACGTTCAGTATTGAGAACAAGGAAGATGCTTCACTTTGTACTGCATGGATCATCCAAACCGAGAGACCAGAGTTTGGTTTTAGGTGTCACTTTAAGGGGATCACAGACGAAGTGGAACATAGTCACAGGGACGCGAGCAGAATGGTCAGGCCAAATAAATAAAGGAGGTGAAGGCATTTATACCAGAGGGAGTGACTTGGGGCTAAATTATAGCTCTGTTCAAACAATGAAAGGCTTCCATGTGGAAGAAGGTCATTAGCAAAGAAGGTAGAACTGGATTGACTGCTGAGAACTTTGGCTTAACCTTAGGAAGCACGTTCTTGCCGTTAAACGTGTCCAGAGAAGAAATGGACTCTTTGGACAAGTATAAATTGGAGGTAATACTGACATTGATATCTTTCCTTTCTCAATTTCAAGTTGATTATTATGTGTGTTACCACAATAAATATTGCTTTTAATTATAATAGTTTGGTTGCCAGAGTTTCCTACTGTCTGTGATACCTCAAGATCAGGTCTGAAATTCAGAGATACCCCTCCCAGCCTATGTGGAACTTGGATCTTCTGCTCCAAGCACAGTTTAAGGCAGCAATTTTCAACCTTTTCCATCTCATGGCACACATAAACTAATTACTAGAATTCTGTGGCACACCGAAAATATATTTTTTGCCGATCTGACAAAGAAAATAGGTATAATTGTGATTCGTTCACAACAACGGCTATTGTTGTGTTGGGTGTTGTCACTTTTTTATTTGACAATCTAAGGGAAAATAGGTCAGTGGCCCTGACTAAATAGTCAGGTATTGCATGTTTTAAAATTTCTGTGGCACACCGGTGGAAAATCGCTGGAGAAGGGGGAAGTAAAAAATTAGTGCATTAGATTTAAACATAGTTTAAGCTCTAGGGTCACCATCGACTAGCCTGTTGAGCTTAAGTAAGCCACGTTAACTCTTAGTCAGTTTCCTCATCTCTACAATGGGAACATATTCTAATTATCTCACAAGTTCTAGTGAGGATCAAATGAAACATGATAGATTTTAAAAAGCTTTAAAAATATAGCATATACGTGCAAGCTCCTATTATTAAAACAAATTATATATATATTTAAACATTAAGCACATTAAAAATGAAACAATTTCATGCGGCAGGTATCTCTCACTCTTTTGGGGGGAAGTGCAGGTGTCCTTTTCTTGGAGTATATTTCCTTTGCCATGAGATGTCGGTATTTCTAAAATACTCTGGCTAATTTAAATGTAAACTATTTGAAGAAATTGGCTGTGCCTTGCCTGTTATTATAATCCGTGCAATACCTATCACAATGTTCTGCTTGTAGCGGACAGCCAATAAATATCAAGTCCAATTGCTTTAAAAGTAAACTGGGACATGTCACTTCAGCTGATGGGCAGCAACGGTGAGGACCTGTGGTCCTGAAAAGAGCCACTAGATGGCAGAAGAAGCCTGAAAGTGATGCTGGGGGACCGGCTGGTCCCTAATAGTCACTGGAAAGATGACAAAGATGACAAAGAAGGCTAGGAAAAGAACTTGGTATTTTCTACTCAAAAGGAAACAGGGGCCACATTTTTGTTTTATGCTCCCCACATGAAAAAATGGTTTTACCTTTAAGACGCGGAGCTTAACCTTCTCAATGGCGACGGCTGTTTTGGAGGCCTCTCCTTGGAGGCGCGGGGAAAGCAATTGCTCGAAAGTGAATACGGCATTCTCCATGAGCTAGAGGCCAAAGCAACACAGAAACAGCAGTCAGAGGCAGGGGTCACGACCCCAGGGCTGCCTAAGTCGTCTGGAGAGAAGGGAGGGGATGACCATCGGGGTGAGTCCCCTCAGGCACTTCTCTGGGGGTGATCTAGGGCAACAGGTCTTACACACATGCACTTGCATGAATGTATATATACATGTATGTAACCTTTCTTCCCATCTCTTCTCCTTTGCCTGAACTGGAAAACCCAAGTCCATGAGATTGAAACTACCATCATCTGGTGTGGTCACCCCCTTCCTCCGACCTCTGGTACCTACAGCCAGGGATTAACACGATGACGTAGGAGTCATCTCCAATTATTTTTGGCTGCTTTCACTCTGCACATGCACTTTCAGGTGGATGTAAACTAGCCAGCACATCTCCCTCTCCACCTTCCACTGGCCCCCTCACCCTCTGCCAGGATGGGAAGGGAGGCAGGGTCAGGGCTTGTCGCAGGCACGTTCATGGGTTAGAAACCGAAGGAGCTCGGGTTTCTTATTCTCTGCACTTGTGCCTGCATAAGCTTCACCAGGGTTCAGCATTACCACAGGGACTTCTGTTAAATGATTGCCCCATTTTGTTCCTTTGTCGATCTTTAATCCCTCACAAATCAGAGGTTAGATAATAAGATGTGTCACTTAATCCTGCCGATAACTTGTAAGAACAAAAAAAGCTCCTTTCTTTTCCAAGGCTGTTGTTCCCACAGCAACACCTACCTTTCTCACAGCATTCTCAACATGGGAGTGAATTTATCTAAGACTCTGTCTCCCTATCAGCTCCCTAACGTGGGGTCCAGCCCCACAATAAGCTCCCCTGGAAAATCTGTGGAATAGAATTGTGCTCTTACAGCTTCAATGAGCACACCCTTTCTTCAATGATAAATTACTATGATATGGAAAGGGTCTGTGCTATTCATTCCTGTTCCTCGTGGGGAAACAGGAACCTATCAAATAAACAAGAAATCCAAATATGAAGCTGTGAGTGACTGATTGATTCTAAGTTAGGGAATTAATTGAAACCAGTGGGTCTCAATCCTGGACACATATTAGAAACAGTAGAAATGAGTAGGGGAAGTCTTTTTAAAAATTATTAAAATGTAGCTCTGGCTAGTGTGGCACAGTTGGTTGGGTGTCATCCCACGCACTGAAAAGTAATCAATTAAAATATATTTTAAGAAATTATTAAAATATAATATTTTTAAATTATTTTAAACATTACTTCAAATTATTAAAAAATTTTAAGTTATTGAATTATATATATAATTTCAATAATTAAAACATAATTTTTAAATAGGTATATATAATCAGAATCAATGGAGGTGGGGCCTAGGCTCCAGTATTTCTTAAAAGCTCCCCAGGTGATTCTAATGTGCAGCCAAGGTTAAAAGCGCTGATTTGACAAATCAATTATTAATTAATGTCACTTGATTTCCCTTCTATGGCGTTCACCAACATGGAAGAAAGATGAAGCCAGCTGGAAAGACAGATACTATGACGAAAGCAATGGCCTCGCTTCCCGGCTGCACAGCAAGCCAGCCCCATCTGCCCACACCTGCTTCCCTGCTGGCTCAGCCCCCCCCCCCAG